TGGGGCAGGGAAGAAACATGATGGAATATATTTGGATGAGGAAGAATGGAAGGAAAGGAAGTGATATTATGTTGGGCTTCTGCAATACAGCATTTGACCAGAAAGAGGTCAAATCAATGATGAGTTTGGGAATTGCATACAAAATGTGGCATAGAAACATAATATATATGTATGTATCTATGTATGTATATATGCATATATGCTAAAGGGCTTCATCTGTCCAGATATCCACTGGAGCTTCTTGCTTAAAGTGGAGTGACTGATGAATTCTTGACTTGTCACTGGTCAAAGGTTCTCATGAAGTCGAAAAAAACCCCAACTATCTATTTATCTATCTATCTATCTACCTGTCTATCTAGATAACTATATTTCAATCTAATTGACTTCCTTCATAATCCTGTGTATATTATGCATTTAAAAATATTATTCTGAGAAGGAGTACATAGGCTTAAGCAGACTGTCCATAACACAAACAAAGCTAAGAACCTCCGTCTGAAATGATAATTTCATTTTTCAAAAAGCAAAAAACAAAAAGAAACAAAAAAAGTGCCATCATATTTGACCTAATTCTGACCAATTAGGGGAAATGGTTGCCAAAGAAATAATGATAAGAATTTTGGAAGGAAGTGATCCCTCCATTTTAGATTTCATAATAGATCCAGTGAGGAAAGCTATGCACTGTATAATGCACAACTGGATTATTGGAGAGAAGATTTTTTTTAAAAAGATCAGAAATAGGATAAGCAGGATCCCATGGTCTAAACAGCACAGAGGAGCTCACTCAAGCAGGATGAGAAGTTCTTAGGATGAAATGCTGATGATGCAAATACAAATTGTTATGATGAGGGAAAAGAAGAGGGAGGGCTCTAAAGATCTAGAGTTGGAAGAGCACTTAGAGGCTATGACGCCCAACTGCTTAATTTTGCAGAGGAGGAAACTAAGGCATAGAGAGATCAAATGATAGGTAGTGTAGTGCTGGACTTTGAGTGAGGAAGACCTAAATTCAAATCCTGACAGCCCCTAGCTAGGGTTATTGTAAGGACCAAATAGGATAATGTGTATAAAATGGTTTGCAAATCTTAAAGTGCTGTGTAAATACTGGTGATGATGATGATGATGATGATGATGATGATGATGAAGAAGATAATGATGATGAAAATTCAAGGCCATATTGCTAGCACATGTCTGAGATTGGATTTGAACCCAGGTCTTTCTTATTTCAAGTCCAATGTCCTAGCCAAGACACCAGAATAGAAGGGAAAACAATAGAAAAGAGAAAGGGAAGGGAAGAGGAAGAGGAAGAAAAGAGAAGGGAAAGGAAGGGAAGAAGAAGAGAAGGAAAGGGAAGAGAAGGGAAGGGGAAGAGGAAGAAAAAAAAGGGAAGGGAAAGAAATAAGCATTTATGTTGTTCTAGGCATTGTGCTAAGCACTATTTACAAACTTTGTCTTATTCAATTCTCACAATAACCCCATGAGGTAGGTGCTATTATTATGCCCATTTTATAGTTGAAGAAACTGAGGCAGACAGGTTAAGTGACTTGCTGGAGGTGACTGAGCTATAAGTGTCTGAGACCAGATTTGAACTCACATCATCCTGACACAGGCTCAATACCACCTAGCTGCATTTGTAGAGAATACAATTCAGATCAGAGAAGGGATAAGATCGCTATTTGGGGTATGTGGAACAATCACAATGGATGGTAGAAAAATGGCAACAGTGAAAAATCTGTTTTCTCTAACGCAAATGATCTTTAGATATGGAAGTATAAAACGCAGATTGTGAGCAGAGAATTGAAAACCAAGATAAATAAGATGGTAAGAGAACTTGGTCAAGACAGGAGACCTCAATTAAAAAAATAGGCGAAATAATTTTCAAATTTGAGGATGACATAGAATATTATACCTAGAACAAGAAGGCTTCTTAGACGTGATCTAGTCTAACCCCATTATTTTGCACATAATGGGGAATTGAGACTATTAAATTTAAATGATTTGTACCAAGTCACAGACTGAGCTGGTTTGGACTTAAAGCACAGGTCCTCTAACACTCAACCTCATTCTCTTTTTACTCCACTGTGAATAACTGTTAATACAACAGATGAAAGAATGAGGGTCTCCAAAGACAGGCCAGAATGATGCTCTGAATCCTACAAGATGACATTTAGTCACTTGCGATACTTCTGGCTAAAAACAAACCAACAAATGTGAAAGCACAGGATGAGGGAGATAATGTCAGAATATAATTCACGAGGAAACAATCTGGAGTGTGTAGCAGACTGCAAGTTTAATATGAATTAAGTTTGATGGGGCAGCCAAAAACTAGTGTGATACTCAGGGGACGTGAACAGATGATTAATGGTGAGAATAAGGAAGAGGGACTCATTGTATCTGGCTCTGACCAGACCACACATTTGTAATATTTTGTTCAGTTCTGGGCACCACAGTTTAGGAAGGATGTTGATGCCATGGGATGGATTCCTAAGAATGCAACTAGGATTGACTGAAGGAATTTCCAAAGAATGTAAGTTCTCTGAGGGCAGGGACTGTTTTGATTTTGCCTTTGTAACCTCAGAACCTAGCACAGGATTTTTATAAGTGTTGAATTAAAGGAATGATGGGATCTTTGATTAGGAGAAGACTTGATGGGAAAATGGTATAATAGTTATCTTAAACTAAAGGACTATATTTCAATCATAGGAACCAAGATATGGAACTGGAAGGAACCTTAGAGGCCATCACAATCAATGCCCTCATCTTACAGATGAGGAGACTAAGGCACAGAGAGGTTAAATGACTCACCCAAGGTTATACAGCTACCAAGTGTCTGAGTCAGGGTTTAAATCCAGGTCCTCCTGAGTCCAAATCCAGTGCTCTAGCCACTACTTGATGCTGTCACATAAAAGAAGTATTAGATTTGTTTTATGTGTCTCCGGAGGATAGATGTAAGGACACTGATATAAAGAGGCAGGTTTTGGCTTGGCATGAGAAAAAAACCCACAAAAACAGAAAACAACTTCCTGATAATTAAAGCTGTTTGAAAGTGGAATGGACCACATTGGGATATAATGGCTTTCCCTTCACTGTCATCTTAGAATAATTGGATAATTATTTCTTGGGGATATTATAGTTCAAGTGTACTGGACAGCTAGGAGTGTCTGGCTTGGAGTCAGGAAGATGTGAATTCAAATCCAGCCTCAGACACTTACTAGCTACATATATAGAGCAAGTCACTTAATTCTGTTTGCCTCAATTCCTCATCTGTAAAGTGAGCCAGAGGAGGAATGGCAAACCATTCCAGTATCTTTGCCAAGAAAACCCCAAATGGGGTCACAGAGAGTTGGACAGAGCTGAAATACCTGAACAACAACAAACAGGCTGAATGGACTGGTCACTGAAGTTCCTTCCAACTGTGAACTTCTGTGAGTAAAACAGTATGGCACAGTGGTATGAGCACTGACTCTGGATTCAAAGGACCTGGGTTCAAATTCTTATTCTGATACTTTATACTTGTATGACTGTGGGCAAAGCATCTAACTTTTCTAGTAATCATTCTCTTCATATGTAAAAAAAAAGTGCACATGTGCACGTGTGTGTGTGTGTGTGTGTGTGTGTGTGTGTGTGGTGGTGGTGGTTACCCTAGATAGCCTCTGAGGTCCCTCTGGCTCTAAATCTATGATCCTAATATTTATGAAAGCCCATATGAGTACTATGGTTTCAAGTGGATAAATCATGGTGGACTCCAGTGGGTTGGGTAGGCTTTGTTGGAAAAGAATGGCTTTAGCTGGGCCTTGAGGGATAGGAGAGGACATACAACTACATATCTATATGGATAGATAGATAGATAGATAGATAGATAGATAGATAGATAGAGAGAGAGATTGATAGACAGACAGATAGATAGATAGATGGAAAGGACCATCATAGTCATTCCTAACAAGATATTCAATGTGAAGAAAGCAAAGAATGGGAATGTATGAGGTATGTTGATGAGATAGTGAGCAGACTCACTTGGTGAGAGCAGGTTTGTGTAGGAGAAGAGAGAAAGAAAAGACTGAAAAGGCACAAACTGGGTCAGATTGCTTAGGGCTTTGAATGCCAAGCTAAAGTATCTGGATTTGGTTTTGAAGGGCATTACACAAAGCTTTACAAAAACAGATACCTTTAGTTAAGTCAACATTGGGAATTTGTCTTATTTAACTGAAAAAGAAGCCTCCAAGGCATAGCTGATAGAAAGCTAGTCTCAGCCACAAATCTTTTCTCTGACATGTACCTGCTGTGCGACTTCACCTCTCTTTGCCCTAGGTAACTTTCTAAACTCTAGAGAAGGCACTGACCCGAATCTTAGAGGCAGTTTGCTCATTTTAATGTTATACATACCAATGAAATCACAGGTCCTGTTCCTATTGATAACCAACATTGGAAAAGACCTTATGTTCCATGTTCCATCTTCAGAACATGCGTTTCTTTATTTAGAATTTATGTCCTCCTTGCTTAAAATAAAAGTGGTATCTTCAGAATAGCACTTCAAAAGGGTCATCAGGACTTAGGGTTGAGACAACTGGATATAAGGTCTGCTAGGTGGCACAGTGGATAGAGTGCCAGACCTGGAGTTAGGAAAACTCATCTTCAGGAGTTCAAATCTGGCCTCAGACACTTACTAGATGTGTGACCAAGTCACTTAACCTTGTTTGCCTCAGTTTCCTCATCTGAAAAATGAGCTGGAGAAGGAAATGGCAAACCACTCCAGTATCTCTGCCAAGAAAACCCCAGATGGAGTCACAAAGAGTCAAACATGACTGAAAAAGGACTGAACAACAAAAAAACCAGATAACATAAGCGACAGCCATAGATAGAGACTTATGAGTCCACTCTATGATCTCAAATGAGAAAGCACAGAATGCTGTGTTGAAATAACAACCCAACCAAACAACAAAATCGTGACCAATAGATTCAAGAAGGCAAAAAGAATGCTCCCAAAAGACATATATCTTTACAAATGACAGCATATTTATTAACAATACCTTTAAAAAAAGATTACATCTGCTAGATCACTGATAAATATCATTTACACTGGGGATGGAAACTACATGGGGTGTCCTATTTTTCATTTATTTTGCTGTTTTTGTCTTTTTTGTGCGATTTTTGTATTTTTTTGTATTTTTTGGTTTTTGTACTGTTTTTGTTTTTGTTTTTTACATAGAAGTAACCATATTAAACTAAGAAAGGAACACAGCATGAAATACTGACAATATTTTTTTTCTGGTTAACACCCTTGACTTTTACACAAGTGGAATCCTGATTATGACTTTACTGAATAAATATATTTAGAAGGTTTAAAAGTTAACTTGTATTATTTGTAAGCAAAAATATGACAAGTTACAGGCAAATTCAAGCTCTCAGGAGAGGAAAGAAAAAAATGGTGGCAGCACATTTAAAGGTGAAAATTTTTCTAGAAAATTTTTTCGCTTTAGTTATGTTGATAGCTCTGTCAAAGTCAGCTTACAAAATTCCCCTATAATAACAAACAGTCCTTTCCTGAATAATATGGTTTGTTTGATATTGTCACTTTCCAATGCAATTTTAAGACTAAGAATGTAAAAGTTTATAAAGCAACTAGGCTGCCTACATGAAGCTCGCGATTCATTAAGGGAACATACAACCATATCAAGGAATCTCTCTGAAGATTCATATGAAAAAAATGTACTTGCAACAATTGCTTGCCAAAACAGGAAAAATCTGTCAAATTCCGTACATTATCTTAATTCAAATGATGGGATTTTTTAAAAAGAGCTACATAGATATCATATATAAGAAATTTTGTAAATAAATTATGAAACCATCAACATAGAATTACCTTTTAAAATGTACATTCAAAACAATTACATTTCAAGATAGGAAAATTACCTCTTCTCTTCAAAGACTCGGTTGACTATAGTAACTTGATCTGTGTTACTACAAGATATGTAATGTTGATTTCCATGTCTAAGATAATGCTACTACAAAGACAATAGAAACTGAGTTGAGTATAAAGAAAACTTTACAATGCGATGCGACGCTAATGTCATGGATGGGAATATTGCACAAAGTGCCCCTTGGGCGGTGTGTTTATGCTTTTGAGATTGCAGCCATTCCTGAAAATTGTTTTGTAGGTCACAAAATCCATAGGATGATGGGAAGGGGGATTGGGGAGAGGAAGAGAGTGAGGAGCAAGCGAATTTTACATATCAGAAGTACTTGATTGAATGCATCCACCACCATCATAACTGCCATTTAAATCCAGTAGCCTTGAGTGACAAACCAAGTCCCCAGCTGGTCACCCTGGGGATGCCCTGTAAAACTGCACAGTCAAGTTGCAGTTGATTCACTGAGACAAGTTTTGAACACTCCATCCTTAGAGGAAACATTTTCAAATCATAAGTTTATGATAGTGTCACCCATAGCATTTTACAGCAAGAGGAAAAAAAAATCAATATCTACATCATATGTTAACTTTAAAAAATTCTATAAAACACTAAATATATAATAAAAAATATGCATATAAGGACATATGTAAACTGCTTTGGTAACATCATATTACAGATGTTTTCAGTGCATTGCAGAGTTTCCAAAGAAACTTCAGACAAAGCTATATTTGCTTTGAGGAAGTACTGTATAATGCCATTTCTAAAGAAGCATAAAACATTTTTTTCCAGTAATAAGATGTACTTGAACAACAATATTACTTAGTACTGGGTGTCTTCAAAACAACTAGCTAAATGTTGCTTATATTATCATCAGCAAGTCCTTTAGATATTTTTTGTCATAAACTGGACCTCGCTGTGAGGGAGATCATTATCGTACTGATGGCTGACAACGTACAAGCATTTGAAGTTGAGGCTCCAGATCCTCTTGCATACGCACCTGCAAAGAGAAGAAAGACAATTCATCGCAACAGGTCGAATCATGGAGCTGAATACTCAGCTGACCACTGAGGCTGGAGAGAGGTGAACATCCTTCAGTAGATGATCAGACTGTCTGGAAACAGCTGGCACCTCCAGGAGTATTCTCCTTTGGGCCAAGCATTGGAGGGGAGAAGATGGAGAGGGTGATGTTAGTAATGCACTCATGTAGCATTTCTAATTTAGGACAAAGTAGCTAGGTGGTCTGGAGTCAGGAACATTCACCTTCCTGAGTTCAAATCTGGCTTCAGACACTTACTAGCTGTGTGACCCTGGGCAAGTCATTTAACCCTGTTTACCTCAGTTTCCTCATCTGTAAAATGAGCTGGAGAAGAAAATGACAAATCACTTTGCCAAGAAAACCCCGAATGGGGCCATGAAGAGTCAGACACGACTGAAAAGACTGAACAGCAGCAGCAATAGGACAATTCTGTGAGGGAGGTAGTTTATAGATTATGGCTCCCACTTTACAGATGAGTAGCATGAGGCTCAGTGAGGTGAAATAATTGGCCTAAGCTTCACACAATTAGTAAATAACAGAGCCAGAAAAGGGGTTTAGGTCTCTGTGCATCAATTGTAATCAATTCTTTCCACTCTCTCATAGCAAATTCCTGAAGAAATCAGCTCTTGAGGGCATAACTGATTCAAACTGATCAGTTGCTTTAATCATGGTGATACTATTTCAGCTCAAATGGGAATCTCCACGTGAATGGAACAGAGAAGAAATGGTGCAGATTCTCTCAAAATTATGTGTGCTCTTTCTTCTAAGAGAGATGCCAACAAATGGTGTACCTGTATTACCTGAAGGTCTACAAAGTACTGTACACATATGATCTCAATGCCTGAAAGAATAAGCTTTCTCCACAGAACACATTGTTTTTATTGGACTGGCAGTTGGATCTGACCTAAAAGGAATGTGAGACCTCTTATAAGGAGAACCCGATTCTATGAAACCCTGGATCACAAGTCAAAGTAAAAGAAAAATAAAATCTTTGCAGCTGTTCTCACTCAACGTGAGATAAATGAGCCTCAGTTTTCTGTACACTGAAGATAGCTTCCATATCTCTCCATGAGTTTGGCTTCATGTCAAGATTAGAAGTGAAGGCTCTTATCTTCTTCTGAATCGAATCGAATTTGGCCCCCTTCTGAAAAGTGAGGAAACTCTGATCGGTGGGTTTGTGTGGGCTAAGGATGCTACAAACATATACCTTTGAATCATTCCTAGGGTCTGTTATGTCAAAATGTTCCATGTACTTGAAGAGATGTGCTATTCAGTATCCTCAACAGATAGTTCTAGAACCCTTCATGTGAGGCATTTCCAAAGACAGATGCCTCTACAAGGGAGCAAATACTCAAGGATTTGGTTTGGAGTATCCAAATATTAACAAGAAAAATTGAGCTCTATGTACTGGCTTCATTCATGTGCATACTACTGAAAAAAGTAGTGGGTGGTTTTTTTTTAGATGGAAAATTCATCTACTACTGCTGTGTAAAGTATCAGTAATCAATCATTAAGCATTGATTAAGCACTTACTCTGTGCCAGGCACTGTGGAAGTGCCAGGGATACAAAAAGAGGCAAAAAGTAGTTCCTGCCCTAACAAAAATTAAGATCACACAGAAAATAGTTTAAGTGAAAAATAGTTAGAGGCAGTATGGTGTAGTGAATAGGGAGCTGGCCTCAGAGTCAGTCAGTTATTAAGCATTTATTAAACATCTACTTTGTGCCAGGCACTGTGCTAAACACCAGGCACGCAAAGAAAGGCAAAAGATAGTTCAGACCCCCAAGAAGCTCATGGTCTAATGGGGAAGACAACTATGTTCAAATAAGCTATATAATTCGGAGATAAGCAACGAGGTGGGGAGGACATTAAGAATTAAGGATCAGGAAAGGCTTACTGTAGAAAGCAGAATTTTAGCTGAGACTTGAAGGAAGCCACGAGGCAGAGATGAAAAGGAAGAGCATTCCAGACATGGAGGACAGCCATTAAGAATGTAGAGACTGGAGAGACGGAGTGCCTTACACCATGAACAGCAAGCAGGCCAGTATCATTTGACCACAGAGTACAGGGAGAAAAGAAAGGGATGAGAAGATAGAAAGGATAGAAAAGCACCTTATTATGAAGAGCTTTAAAAGCCAAATAGAAGACTTTAAATTCGATCCTGGAGGTAATAGGGAGTTTATTGAACAGGTGGGTTGACGTGATCCAACCTGAACTTTAGGAGGATCACTTTGACTGTTGAATGGAAGAAGGAGTGGAGTGAGGAGAGACATGAGCCAGGGAGGCCAACCAGCAAGCTATTGTAACAGTCTTGATGTGAGGTGATAAGAGCCAGGATAACGGAAGTGGCAGTATCAGAAAAGAGAAGAGGGTGTACAGGAGAGATGCTATGAAGTTAAAATCAACAGGGTTACGCAACAGATTGGATGTGAGGATTTCCAGAAAGAGAGGAGTAGGGGACCACACCTAGGTTGTGGGCTTGGGTGACTGGGAGAGTGAGAGATGGTACTCTTAACAGTAATAGGGGAATTTGGAAGAGGGAAGGATTGGGGTGGGATCAGAAGATACTGAATTCAGTTTTTGACATATTGAGTTTAAGATGTTTTCAGTATATCCAGTTTGAGGTGCTCAGTAGGTGCTTAGAAATGTGAGATTGGAGGTAGGAGAGTGGTTAGTGTTGGATAATTAGATTTGTGAAGACAGGAAAACCTGGATTCAGGTCCTGTCTTTGATGCATACTGGCTATTTGACCCTGGGCAAGTCAGTTGGCCTTTCCTGGCTCTAGAGAACTCTCCAAGAAGATTTCAATCTCTTTTGCAACAAAGACTCCAAATTCACTTTGCAGAGTGAATTCCCTATATCAATAAAATCATAGTTCCAGTTCCTACCCCCATACAATCACTGTATATATTCTTTGATATATTCAATTGAATTAGCCTTTAGTTAACATTATTTTAAGCCTATAAGATGCTTATGATCAATCAATAAACATTTATTAGGTGCCTACTATGTTCTAGGTACTGTACTAATTGCTTAGGATACAAAAAGAAGCAAAAGACAGCCTTGCCCTCATGGTCAAGTGAATCTATTTATGTCAAAGATTTGTCATTCTCTACACATATAAAAGACCCTGGTGTATATGATGCTATGTCTCCACGTGGCATGAAACCTGGAGGACGATTCCTTTAAAGCCTTCTCAGGAGTAAAGTGTTGGGAATGTTTGATTGAGTCTAGTCACATGACAATACATAAGCATAAATGTAAAGTCTTATGCTTAGGTTCAAAAAATCAACTTCACAAGGGGAAATAACACTGGATTGGGGTTAGAAAACCCAACAAAAATCCAAGTACTGTCATTTACTACCTCTAAGAACATGGGCAAATCATTTCTATTCTCTTGGGGGAAACACTGTTTCCTCTTCTGTACAAAGACAGGGTTGGATTAGATCAGGGCTTCTTAAACTTTTTCCACTTCCAGCTCCTTTTCACATTCAGGCAGAATTTGTTGGCGTTGCACGGCCTGACGGCACACGTGGTACAAAGTGCACATGCTCTGTGTTCAGAACCAAGGCTGCAGCGAAATTGCAGCCACACGGGCAAGTGCTGCCAGAAAGACCTCAGATTCATTTTGCGTTTGATTTTTAATTAATTTTTGGTCATTGCACATTCAGAAGCCTTTTACTGATGCCAAATTTTTCACGACCCCATATGGGATCCCACTGTTAAAGAAGCACCAGACCAGATGGCCTCTCAAGTGTCTTCTAGCTCCCAGTCTATGATCACATGTAGGCAAATGCATACATATACATATGGATTCATAATGTACAACTTGCCCAAATGGGCTGATTTGAGAAGTGGTCGTTTCCCTTTTCCTTGGAGGCCTTCAGGTAGAGGTTAGATAACCAATCGTTATATTAAAGAAGGGATTCTGGCTCAGTAACAATTTGTAATGTAACCTCTTTTAGAGTAGGGGTTGTTCTGTTTTAGTCTTTATATCTTTGGGGCCCAACACAGCTTTGTTCATAGCAGGTGCTTAATAAATGTTCTTTGTATTAACTGTGATCCAAGCTGACTCTGAGATTTTGCAGTTCTATGTAGAGACCTTTCCTCCTGCTTATATTAATTGACAGATTTTTTTTTCTTTTGATTTTTACTCCATCCTTTCATTTGATGCTGCCTGAGGCTGCGTCAGCATGCACAAATTGGTCCGGCTGTTTAATTGACTGGTAACCTGTTAAGTCAGCCAAAACTGATTTGTACATTTAGAAACAGTCTGAGATCAGTGAGCATCAGTCCCCTGAAGAAACTGAGTTATACAGAGTTCCTTTTTATTACATTTCTCCCTTGTCATACCTAATTGCTACTAGGTCTTGGTCCAGTGGTCCTGGGCTCATTTGCATGACTTGGCTACATGACATCTCCATGCTGTCTTACATAACATCTGTCAAACCAGGAAACACTGAAAAATGGCATTCTTACTTGATATCTTTGGAATTCGAATTTGTTCACTGCTACTGCCATCTCCTCCATCACTAAATGGCCTAATTTCTATGATATAGTCTTCATCGAAAGGCAAGGAAAGCTCCACGGACGTCTTGTTTGTTTCAATTACAGATGTGCTGCTCTGTCTGTTCCATCTGTATAAAACCTATAATACAAAAACAAAAGGTGTCCATTGCTGCCCTCAGAAAACTCCCCAAGCCTCCCAAATGCCAACCACTTATTGCTTTCATCTGTCCCACCCCAGCAGGATGAAATGAAACAATGGCCAGAGGTGCTAGCCTTGCCCTGGGCCCTACCCTAATTTGGAAACAGTAGTCCAATGACTCCAACACTATGTGTCTATGAAGAAGTTCACAAAGATGTTTTCATGACCATAATCACCTTTAATCCTCACGATAGCCCTAAGGTTAGGCAATGTTGTCACCTTCATTTTATAGATGAGGACACTGGGTTTCAGGGAGATTAGATGACCCAAGGCCACAAAACAATTCATTGGGAGAGTTGGGATTCAAACTCGGCCTGCTGACTTTATGTTAAGTCCCTTTCTCATACAACATATGTAGCTTCTCATGGGATAGGATGGTCATAATAGTCATAGGATGGTCATCATAGATTTAGCAGGCCAAGGTACTTGAAAAGCCTTCTAATCCAATCCCACCATGTTATAGACGTTGAAAGGTTAATATCACAAGAGAAAAGTGTCTTGCCCATTGTCAAATGGGTAGTAAGTGGTAGAAACAGCATTCGAATCAAGGCCCTTGGACTCTTTCTACAGATAACAATGATGCAGCTATCCCAATGTAAAAACAAAATAGACTTAAAAAACTATAACACTTCCTTAAATTCCAATTTTCTAAATTATGCCCAAGACTTCAGTCTGCCTGATCACCTTTGAATTAAATATAGTCTTTCAAATTAATCTGAAAAATTCATTCATTCATTCATTCTGAACAGATTTTTATCAAATTATATGCTAGAAATGGAAGTAGCTACAAATCAGTTGATCAATTACTCAACATTTATTAAGCACCTATTTTGTGCCAGGCATTAAAAAAAAGAAGTGTATAAAGTCAAGTTGTCCTTGACTTTGCTGAGCTTTTTTAACATTCTAGTTTGCATATTCATCAACTTGGCTAGTGGATAGAGTGCTAGGCATGAAGTCAGGAAGACCTGAGTTCAAATCCTGTCTTAGACATACCAAGCTGTGTGACACTGGCCAGGTCACAACCTTTCAGTGCCTTGGGCTCCTTGTCTGTAAAATGAAGGAGTTGGATTTGGCCTCTCATGTCCTTTCTAGCTCTTAATCCATAGTGCTACGATCTTATTTCACTCTCAGAGCTAAAATTTTACTGCTTACTCAGATATCTAGGCTTACCCTTGCTGTTTATTCATTTGGTCATACCAATTCTCTCATTATCCACAGAGGTACAAGGGGGTGGGGGGAAGTAAAGTCTTCTGACTTCCCTCCAAGATATTCCTTTAGAATGGAAGGCCTCGCAGTTGCTCCCAGAGTATCAATTTAATATATGGTAAAAGGAAAGTCATTGGGAGGGAGTGCAGTGGGAAAAAGAAGCTCTGAAAAGGCAATAGTTCCCAGTTTTAGTCTCGTCTCTTCTATGGATTTGCTGTGTGGCCCCAAGCTGCTCATGTAACCACCCACTCCACTATGGAGGGAAGAAAAGAGGGAACTGTTCTTTTGGTGAATTGATTGGACAGCTTTAGTTCAGATGTATATTCTATGACCTTGGACAATTTACTTTTCTTTTTATTAATAGCCCAAATTTATTTAGCCTCTCAAAAATAAATGTATTCTTAATACTTTCATTACATTGCCAAAACTTCCCATGGCCATCTGCTCTCTCCTACCAGTAGAATCTTCCATTTAACAAGGCATCATTGGTTAAGCAAAACAAACCAACGTGTCAACTGAGTGTAACAAAAGCATGGCTGTTCCATAACTGCTGCCTATTCCATAGTCTGCTGCCTTCCTCCCAAAGAGATAGGGGGCATGCCTTCCGATGTCAAAAATGGTCACTGAAGTATTAGAGTCCTGATCTCTTTCAGCATTGTTTTTCTTTATGTTATTGTGGTCACTGTTTACATCGTTCTTTTAGCTCTGTTCACTTTTTTTTAAAAATAAAATCTTATTTTATTGTTATCATTTTTAATCACCCAGCACTTTCTATATTTCTCCCATCACTCCTACCCATTTAGGCATCATTAAAAAAATAGTGTGGAGCAGTGGAAAATCATGCTGGAATTGGAGACCTGCTTTTGATGCTTATAATCCACGTGACCTTGGACAAGTTTGGTCCTCAGTTTCTTTATCCATACAATGAGAGGATTGGACTAGTTAACTTCTGAGATGCTTTCCTGCCCTATACGTATGATCCTATGATTTTTATAACAAAGATTAAAAAAAAAAGAAAGAGGAGGAAAAATAGTTCAGCAAAATGAATCAATACATCCACTTCATCAATTATTGATATCAATACATCCAGTTGATGTATTGATGAGGAAACTGAGGCGAAGTTAAATGATTTGCCTAGAGTCACATAGGTAGCAAGTACTTGAACCAGAATTTGATTATTTACTTGCTGGAGTCTTAGATTTCTCATCTGTAAAATAGAATAGTAGCCTTCTCTCTTAAACCTAAGATTGGCTACCTGGACACTTCTTCACACAGGTACTGCAGCATTTCTCTAGGAAGGTGTCAAAGCTTCCACATATCCCCTGGTACCCCAAGCCTCTAATTTATGTCCTACTACCACAAGGTGCTGAATAACATTTCCTAAAGTTAGAAAGAGTCATCGACATCATTCCTCCACCCTCGGCACCTCAGATATCTACTTCAGTGTCCCCTTAGTCCTTACTAATGATTGTGCACCAATAAATCCTCTGGTTTATTTAGAGGTGTCAAAATTTCTCATTCCAGGGCTCTGGGAGAACAAGCTGGTTTATCAGATGCAGAATCACATCACAACTTCCCGGAATAAATTGCTTCTTTGATTTACCTCCCATCCTTTCCAGGTATCAGGAAATTCAACTAATTTAAAGTATAAATCCTACTCCCAAAAGAAAGATTTCCTGGGGAAATAAAATAACAGACTGTACCTAGTCTGAGAATTTATTTGCACCTTGCAATGAAGCTGGCTTCTGTAGCAAAAGACTGGCACCTGGGCCTCCTCTCTCCTGGATGTGGCCTAGGGACAGATGGACCCTGCCCAAACCACTGGCCTCATTCTCAAAGCATGGGTACTCAATAGACTCCTCCTACTCAAGTGCTATGCTCTGTATTTTCACTCTCTCACAACCAACCAATACAACAAGCATTTCTTAAGCGCCTACTATGTGCCAGGCTCTGTACTGGGTATTGGGGATACTAAGCCACAAATTAAACAGTGCTTGACAAAATAGGAGACAGCTAGGTGTCAATGGATAGAGCACTAAGGCTAGAATCAGAAAGTCCTGTATCTATTGTACATAGATAGAAAAAATAATAACCAACACCTGTAGAGGCACTTTAAGAATTGCAAAGTGCTTTACATATATGTCATCTCATGATCCTCCTGAGTGGTAGATACTAAGGGAATCATGAGCTGTAATTTATAGCTGAAGAAACTGAGGCTTGGAGAAGGTGAAGCCACCTGCCCTTGGTCACATGGCTCATAAATATAAGAAGCAAGATTCAAACCCAGGTCTTCGTGATGCCAAGTCTACATTTCCATGCCAGACTGTGGGAAGCTTCTTCCTACCAGTAAGGGCAGGAACTTGGTATGCCATTTCACATTAATCAGTGATAACAATGACATCTCAAAGAAAGCTCTGGTGAGGCTTACAGGATGCTGGAGCAAAACGCCATCATCTAATTCAGTGAAAGATGGCATTACATCTGTAAAAAGGAGGGTAGGGTAGAAGTGGGGGCAGGGTGGTAGAATGGCTATTTCCTGCTGCCTCTGCATTAAGTACCAATGGCAACCTGGAAGGATGGAATATTTTGAATCCCAAATCTTAAAAAGTTAACCTGTGCTTTTCAGTCCATTCAGACAACTAGCACAGAATACAGAACAGGCCAAAGAATCCAGGAAATCCAGGTAAAACATTTTGTACATTAAAAATGGGAGAACTGGTAGAGATGAGGGGGACTGGTACTATCTATACTAACTCTGACTTTGTGAAGTCAAGCAGGGGCAGTGAGGTGTTGTTGATAGATCTCTGATTTTGGAGTCAAAGAATATAGTACGCTCTCCTTCCTCAATTTATCTTGTAATTACTTATTTATCCATGTTGTGCCTCTGTTTCATGCACTCCTTCCCTTAGCAGATGACAAGATCCATGAAGGCAGGGGCTTTCTGTTTTGTCTTGCATTCCCTGTCTCTGACAGTCAGTGAGATAGGGGAGAGAGAGAGAGAGAGAGAGAGAGAGAGAGAGAGAGAGAGAGAGAGAGAGAGAGAGAGAGAGAGAGAGAGAGAGAGAGAGCTGGCCCCAGAATCAGGGCCTTGAGGCCTGCCTTTGACACAGATTCTCTTCTAGGAATCTCTTCTAGAACTATAAGCTGTGAAGTAGGTGCCAATCTGCACCGGTTAATTTCCAAAATTCCACATCAATGAAACCACAGGGTCAATGCCTACTTATTCCCAGTGCCTAGCACATAGTAGATGCCTATGTTTGTTGCAGGTGTAAATATTTGCTAAATGAATGAATGACACCATCTGGTACTCTTTTCACTACATAAACCTACTTCAGAGGAAAAAAAAATAGCTTGTTTAAAAAAAGTGGTAGCCAGTAATCCTTACTCCTGTTTTGTTCTGTTTTTTCCTCATAAAAGAAAATCATGTAATTTTCTAAAGCCAGTTCACTCGAAAAAATTTCCACTTCACATTTTCATCACTGCACTTCTCAAAGTCTGAAAGCCCTAACAAATAATTTAGTAGCTCATTAGCCTTCAGCTCTTCTCTCATCACTCCCCTTGACAAAGTCCTCAGATTTTATTTTCTACTAAAGATTCCCTGGCTGAACACTTATTACTTTCCATGGACTTCTGAAGCTTTCTGCCGTGTGCTTCTTACCTTTCTTAACTGGAGAAATGGGAGTTTGGGGAAAATAATTGATTTTTCCCTTGGTTTTCTAACTTTGCTATTAGGTCTGGTTACTTGGTTTCCAGCAATTTCATATTTGCATTCCAATCTCTTTATTCTTGAAGGTGGTAGTGCCTCAGTAAAATTGGGAAGTAGAAAATGTTTATCTTCAGGAGCTCTCTTCCACTCTCTGTGCCCTTTGGTGTTCTTTTCCACCTCCCTTGTACCAACTCTACTTCCTTCTGCTAACCCAAATTGACAAATACATGATAAGCTAGGTCACACTGTGCTATTAGCAACTCAGAGAATCATAGAATTTTAGAGTGAGAAGGGAGCTTAGGGATAACCAATCTAACTGTCTCATTTCAGAAGAGGAAAGGACTGGGAGATATGGCTGCTGAGCCACTGTCAATGACCTTAGAAAGATCATGGAGGCAATGCAGCGGATAAAATGTTGGACCTGGAGTCAAAATGACTGGAGTTCAAATCTGGCCTCAGGGATGTCCTTGCTATGACCCAGTGTGAGTCACTTTACAATTTCCTTATCTGTAAAACAGAGTCATAATAACACCTACCTTGTAGAGTTTTTGTGATGATCGAGTGACATAATATTTGTAAAGTGGTTAGCCACTTAATAAATGCCTTCTTACTCTTCCTGAAGGGCAAATGTCCCAATTTTTGAAAAAAAAGGAAAGAGAAGTGAGCCTGCAAACTATAGAGTCATGTGCTTTACTTTGTTTCCTGACCAAAATAGAGAACATAGTAATAAAGGGATGGTTTGTGAACATTCAGAAAAGGAAGTAGTAATCCCAAAGAGGAGGGCAGCTAGGTAGCACAGTAGATAGAGTGCCAAGCTTAGGGTCAGGGAAGACTCATCTTCCTGAGTTCAAATAAGGCCTCAGACATATACTAGCTGTGTGACCCTCTCCAAGTCACTTAACCCTGTTTGCCTCAGTTTCCTCATCTTTAAAATGAGCTGGAGAAGGAAATAGCAAACTACTACAGTGTCTTTGTTAAGAAAACTGCAAGTGGGGTCATAAAGAGTCAGACACTGCTGAAACAACCGATCAATCTTAGTCACAAAGAGGTAGTATGGCTTCGTCAAGAATAGGTCATACTGGCCTCAACTCATTTCTTTTTTTGATGGTATTACTAAGACTAGTATATAAAGAGGATGCTATAGATATATGCAGTTCACTTACAGTTCAGAAAAACATTTGATAGTTTCCTATGTTGACCTGGTAGAGAGATGAAGAAATATGGTCTAGATGACAGCACAATTAGGTGAATTTAGGAACTGTCTGAACAAGCAGAGCCAAAGAACCATTATTAATGGCTTGATGTCAGTTTCGTGGGAGGTCACTAGCAAGGTGCCCCAGGGATTCATCCTTGGCCTTGTGTGATTAAAACTTTTATCCATGACTTAGGTGAAGATGTGGTTCTCAAATGTGCAAATGATACAAAGATGCAGGGAATGGGGGTGGGTGGGCTGGGGTCAGGGTGAGGCGGGTAGCTAACATGCTGGATGAAAGAGACAGCATCCAACAAGATCGTAACAGTATTGTACAATGGGATCAACTTAATAGGGACAAATGTTACATCCTACACTTGGAGTAAAGATCAACTTTGCAAATACAATATGGGAGAGGCATAGCAAAGATGGCATTACAATTGAAAAAAAAAAGATCTGGCTTAACTTGATTCCAATAGCAAAACAGCTAATTTGATCTTAGGCTACATCGAGAGAGAGAGAGGCATGGAGACCAGGAATGGGGAAGTGATAGATTGGTCCCCATACAGGCCACATCTGGATGATTCTAATCAGTTCTGGGCACTTCTTTTTGTGAAAGATGTCAACAAATCAGAAAGCATATAAAGGATGGTGCTGTTTGTCCTGAGACCAAAACTAGGGCCAATGAGTAAAATTTTCCAAAAGATAGAGCCTACGTTAAATGAAGCTCGAGCAAAACTTCCTAATAACTAGAGATACAACCAAGTGAACAGGAAGACTAGGTGACCACTTAGGGGAGATGCTGAATGGGAGATTGGTCAGCCACTGTGTTGCACTAGATCTCTTCTGAAATCCCTTTCAACACTATGATTTTAGAGGTTCCAGGACTTGCTCAGCATCACATGACTAGTTGGTGGCAGAAGCAGGATTAGACCAAAAATAATAACACTAGGTGATTTCTACATAAGCACCATAAAGTTTGTAAAGAACCTCACATATGTCATATCATTCAATCCTCACAATAGTCCTTTGGGATAAGCACTGTTATTATTTCCACTTTATAGATGAGGAAACTGAGTCTCAGAAAGGTTAAGTGCCTTTCTTTGTCACATCGGTGGAAATAGGATTCAAATCCAGATCATCCCTGAATTCAAGTCTCTCTCATTCCTTCCTTTTTCTGAGTCTAGGGTTTTCCATTTCTAGCTATGTGTTCCTTCCATAATATCATCCTGCTAGGAATATTTGCATTTTTAACAGAACACCAAATGAAAAGAGGGCAATGCTTAATCAAATGGAATGAATATCTAATGGTGTAAATTTAGACCTCAAGGCACCTGGAGGAGGTTGATGCTTGGAGGCAGACAGACCTTCCTGGTACCCCTCAATCACACTCAGTAAGCTTCTGTTTATACTACTCACATTTGAGAATAATTTGGCTTTAACAATTACTAGTAATCTAATAACCCCCTTGTTCTTCAGATGCTAATTGAAATCATCAGACAATATCATACTTCAGAAATTTCTGTAACGTATCTATTTTAGAAAGATGGCCCATTCTTTATAGGCTCTAAAAATTTCTGCTCTCTTTCCTACTTGGATAAATAAGAGTTCTGGGTAAATGATCTATCTTCTCTCTTACTGTGTCTTTTCAGAACAGTTTAGCAAACGGGCTCATTGATTCATTGGCTTAGCAAGCCAAGGGACTCAGAGACCATATAGTCTGATCCTCTGATTGTGTAAATGAGGACCACACAGGTTAAACGGCTTTCCCAGGATCCCCTGGATAGCAAATGGCAGAGCCAGACCTCAAACCCAGGTCTTCTGACTCCAAATCCCATATTCCTTCTGATGTACCACTTCAAATTTACATTCTTATTTTTTGGAAGGAATAACACAAAGCTATCTGAAACCACATTTAATGTCAACATAGCATAAGGTCTGTAGTTTTCCATAGTTCTACATTGCTCCTTCCAGTTCCTTAAAGATAGAACTCTGCCTGAGTGATCAAGTGAATGAGTGCTCACATTTCCACATAAAAATCTTCCACTATCTGGGTAGACATACAAACAAAAATGATCAACCACTAGTAATATTTGGAATTGCATTACTATTCATGGAAAATAAAAACATTTTCTCAGGGAATAAACAATGAGCATAAAATTTTAAAAAGAGACTTTATGACTTGTTTGGGAATCCATAAAAGGACTCTCAGACCATTTTGATCTGGCCTGCTTAAATTGGGTCATTCAATTTTTCTCCACATCCTGGACGAATACATTGGTCCATTTATCCAAGATCCAGCTTTAGGCAGGGAGCCAACATTTGGGCCTTGCAGTATAGATGAACAAGTTCTGGAATGTTCCCTACACATTTCATATATGTCAAAGGAAAGGCAATGGTCCTGAGAAAACAGTCTCATTATTGGTCTTGCGAATTAGTTACCCACTTTGTATCCCTTTACTTCGGATTCATTGTCCAGGGCTTTGACTTGATCCCAATTCAATATAATTTTGGAGTCAGATGAATTCCATATGATGTTTCCAGGGGGTTGACTTGGTGCTAAAAATTAAGATAGACGAAGTCATAGATTATTAAGTTTCAATATTTTCTGATGGATGTGTTCCTTACTAGAATCCTAAAGTGGAGGCAATTTAATGGGCAATTGCACTAATATGTATCTCCAAGGTCACTAAAAATCTGACGTGACATAGTACTGTAAATGGAAAAGGATTCAGTTGGCTGCCCAACATCTACAGCTAGGAGAGGTAGCCCTCGCTGATGAGATAAATGAAACCTAGACCTGTCTAAGAGCAACATGATTACCATGGTATTACCAAAGGATCAGACAGTAGCATAGAAATCCACACAAATGCATATATTTATGGAAATCTAAACCCAAATAATCACATGGGACCAACTTTCATAGAAGCAGAAACATGGCAATCTTGCTTCCAAACAACACGGACTTACGTGGCTTTTTTGTTGTCACATTGACAGTTACACTGTAGGGTCCAGTTCCAGCAGTGTTGTAGGCCTTGACAGCCAAATGATATAAAGCACTGCCTTTCAAATTGGTTATTTTCGTTGATGTTTGATTTCCAATCGTTCTTATTTTCCTAGCATTCTCTTCTTTATCGTCATGACTCCAGTATTTGACCTGAGAAAAGAAATGACAGAATGACTTAGGAATTCAAGCCCACTATAAACTTTCCCAATGGTGTACTTGAGGTAGCTCTGTTGTTTGATTAATCTAGAAGTGGTCCTGGACACCATTTTCTAAAGGGGCTTGCCTAGGACATGGCTTTAGCTGCTCCAATAAAACACATTTCTCCCTTGGATTCATCTATAATAAGGAAGACCCACTTTTGTTCATTTCCCCATAGTGAATTGTATTCTGAGATGGGAAATTGGACACTGTAAAATCTGACTCATTAAATACTTTGTTTCTAAGTTGTCTTCATGAAACATAGACATTCTCATGCCATTTTGTCAATGAGTACCCATATATGTGTATATTCACATATATGTATATAATACATAAATAAGCTCCTGAAAAACTAACATTAACATCAATATTCCATAATGGTTTTCGGTGTTTTTTCCTTCCAGTTCCTTAAAGACACAATACTGCACTAATGAGCTAGTGAATGGATGCTTCATATGCACAGGTGTGTATCAGTATATCAAAAGCAGCTACAATGAAAAATGAAGCTGTCTCCCCCAATCCCATTTGTACTTCTCATGTCTTTAGTTTATTCTGTTAGTAGCTGGGTCTTTAAAAACATGTATTCTTAAGTGGCTATCCATGCCCTCTCATCAGATGTCATATACATTTCTCATTTAAAATTACCTATTCATCAGAGTCAAAGCAAATGCATTTTTCTTACCTCATAACCCTGTATCCGTCCTTTACTAAATGACTCTAGGGGAGAGGACCAGAAAACTTCAATGTCTGTGGCAGACAGGCTTCTGGCAAAGATGCTGGGTGGTGGTTTAGTGGGTTCTATGGAAGGATGTGAAAAAAAGTTTTAATCTTGACAGAAATGATTATTTCTCTTATATTGATAACCAATTAACATTGGGGATCCAGGTTTTTTTTCTCTTATTTCCTCATTCAAAATCCAGTCTCTCAAGAACATTTCTGACCTTGCCCAAAAATTTACTCCACCTAGACCATCTTATCTAGGAGAATTTCTTATCCCACCGACTCAGTGCAATTGGCTAGCTATATGATTCTGGCCTGGAACTGACATCAAGATAGGGGAATATTTTCCCCTCACTGTATAGCTATGTCCCCCTTCTTCTTTCATCGCAAATTTCTATAATCATGTTAGGTGATCAGTACAAACACAATAGTAGATCTTTTTAGGCTAATACTAGAACACATATTAGTCACTGTAGTAAGATGCAAGTATAAGATTTGAGCTATTTAGCTTAGAATTTTAGTCCTTTCTATATTCCAATTTACTAAGTAAATGGGTATTTAGCCTAAATAGCCATTTGTCATCTGTCTGTTACTAGTTATGTATTCCTGTGTAAGATAAGGTCTTTTAATTTCTCACAATGGTATGGGGATAATTAGGCAATGATGTAAAGACTTGTGAAACCAAGATACAATTCTGTTCTTTAGCAGGTTTATATCATAACTGTCTCAGTTCTGTGTTAATGAAAAGGATTTCAGCACAATTAGTTATCTCAAAAGAAGACTGGTTGTGGTCTATCTTACAAATGCCTTAAAGAGACATCCACTTAAAGAGAGATACACTTTTACTAGGGGTTATTCATTTGCACATGGCTAGAAGTTGAAAATGTTTTATTATGGACAAATTATTTAATAAGTACTGTTCTTAAACTATATCTTCATACATTCCATTCCAACATCTTTTGTTACAATTGTAGTTAATATGGCAACTTTTGAGAGAGTCCAGTACAATTCATCTTCTTTTAAAAAGTGTTCTGTTACTGGTTCCTTAGTGGAATCTCATTCACCCAAAGCAGGAATGAACAATGCCAAGTATACAAACTGGATTCTAATTTTTGGTTTGTATTTGACTTTACTGGATATATCACCATAACAACTGGCTAACCTAAAGATGTAAATTCTCTGGTCTAAAAGGTTCCAAATTTAATTTTCTAACAGCAGAGATATAAGGTTTGAGCTAACTCTCACTAATTGACCTGGCTATTGGCAAAGTAAATTTAAAATTGTGTTAAGACCAATTTTATAAGAGATTTTTAGCAAGGAAAGGGATCTCTACAAGTGACCTTAACCAGAGAAGCCAGTTAGCTGGAAACTACTCTGAGACCACACCCAGATCAGAGGGCTGCATCAAAAGTTTCCAGAGAACCAGACAGCTGTGTGTATGAGATGAGACCTCTGAGCCTTAAGATTTGGTGGACCTATGAAATGGACAATTTTATTTATTTATATTTTTTACTCTTTGCTTTTTTCCTATGAATCTGTTATCTATAAGACCTACTGGCTAAAGGGAACTGTCCCCTTTTGGTCTTCTTTCCCCCCTTTCCCCTCACACTGTTTCTCATCATAAGCCCCATAGTTAGAAACCCTTGATAAAGTGTTTGTCATCAGTTAGTAATTCATTGAGAAGACAGCATCTCTTAATAGAATCAAATGGGGGAATGAGAGATATGATTATTTTTCTCTTCTGTTAATAACCAATTAATACTGGGGGATAGGGAAAAAATCCAGGTTTTTTTCCCTTGCTAGTTCCTTATTCAAAGTCCAGTCTCTCAAGAACATTTCTGATCTTGCCCAAAACTTTACCCCAGCCAGACCATATTATTTAGGTGGAATTGTTACCCCACCCAACCAGAAAACTTATAAAGAGAATTAATTTAGATGAATTCTCATTCATTGTGTTCTACTAAGACAGGTTTTGGGGGATGCATATCCTTTTTTCTAGATTGCCCTAACTAAGGTTGGTCAGGGTAGAAAGGACTAAGAGTGACATAATCAGAGACATATACCTAGCCCCTCACTATAATAGGTCAATCTTTCATTATAATATTCACTCTCTCATTAATTGTTAACCAATCAGAATTTATTTCTGCTTCTTGGGAACACCCACTCTTCCAAGGGTATATAGGCATCAAGGGGTCTTTGATTTATAAGAGAAAGCCAAATGTCTATCCTTTTATTATTTGCTAGGCATAATTAATAAAATGATTACCCAGAAATTATGTCTGTTGGGCTTTTCATACATCACAATTTCCTATGATGGGGCTTTCTCTATATGCAGCACTGATCTAGATGGGTAGGCCAAAAGCATTTGGAATGTCCATCTCTGAGCAGTTATATACATTTGTTCAAGGGCAAATAGATCTCTTTGTGGATGGAATTTTTTATTGAACATATGCATTTGATTCAATGGTACTAATTGCATTGATTATATGGATCTAGAGGTTAAGCTCAAGCACCATGTATATCAATTTCCTTTCAAAAGAGTGGTCCTGGTAGATGCTACCAACCCTGCTAAGAAGTTTAAGCTTCTAGGGGTTTTAACACATTTAGGGATAGATTTCAGGGGTCTATGAACTGGGATGAGGGAAAATTTGCATCTTCATTTCAATAAAAATATTTTTATTCGTAATTCCATAGATTTTATTTTATTCATTGGAAAACATGATTCTGAAAATGGGTCCATAGTCTTTATCAGACTCCCAAAGAGTACATAATAGAAGAAAGGTTAAGAATAACTGCTCTAGACCATTACAATAAAAACCAGAGGCAAGCATAGTATAGTGGATAGAATGCTGGACTTGCAATTATCAGTGTAAAGAATCTTTATGGGAACTTCCTGTCCCAGTATATCTTACAGAGATACCTGGTGAACACTGAGAGGTTAAGTGACTTGCCCAGGTGCACAAAGTCAGTACATGTCAGAGGCATAACTTGAATCTAGATCTTTCCAGCTCCATGGCCAGCTCCCTATCCATTAAGCCACACTGCCACTATAGAGCCTAACTCCCAGTTTTTTAGGTATAAACATTTGGGGCATTTTTACTAATGCTGGATCAATGCTTTTTTCCCCTTTCAAAAGTTTTTGGGGAGTTACAATGATCCTTTTATTTTTAACTAGATGTCATGTCTTTCAACATAGTGTTCATTACTCTATACTAAATGATAGGAATAAGGACTGGTTTTGTGATTTAATTAGCATAGGAAAGTCCCAGGTGAGGAAACTCCCTCTACCAACATAGGTCAGCACCTCTTCAATTTACAGTCTTAGAAAGCTTCCCAAGGCACCGAAAGGTTAAATGGCTTATCCAGGGTAACATATCCACTATGCGTCATGGTCAAGACTAGAGGCCAGATCTTCATAGCTTCAAGGTCAGGTACATACTACATACTCTCTCCACTCTTCCATGTCTCTCTTATGCTACATGAATCTAAGTTAAATTCCTTTGAAACTATCAATTATGTTCACATGTATACTAAGTAAAATCATGCAATTTGGGGGGCTATCATAGGATTTAATTACTTCTGACTTATCTTAAAAATGCAATGCAAAGTCTTTCATGGCTGTGAAGAAAAGGGCAAAAATCAGGATCACACATCAATCATCAAACATTAAAGACAGCGATCAGAGAAGAAAAGAACTTGCCCACACTAAACCCCATACCTTCTTCTGCAGAATACACCACTGTGACTGGACTGAAAGAGCCTTCTCCTTTGTTGTTGTAGACTCCCACTTTCACTTCATAGGGGGAGAATGGAGGCAGGCTCTCATTCCTGAACACGTATCTGGACGCATCTGCAGAAGCCAACACTGTCTGCATCCAGCTCACTTTGCCAAAGGGTCGAAATGCCACCACATACCCAAAACCTCCTCCATTTTGTAATTCTTCAGGGACAGTCTGGTAAAGAAGAGAGTGGGTATTCAGAATTAGCAAGAATCTTTTAGGATGCTAAGTCATTTCTCCTTTTCCATGCATTTTTTAGGGGGAAAGGCAGAGATTCTTTCCTTACCTTTTTAATGTTACTATTATTACTATGATTAGTACCTATATTATCACTATTAGTAACATACAGTGGTATATTGTTAATAAGTTATAAATGGTTTAATGTCTGTTATGTACTAATAATAGTAATATATACTATATGTTAGTATATAGTTATATATGCATCATGCATAATTAAAAATAAAATCAACATAGTATATCATAATATAATCATATTATAATATCTATAGTATGTTAACATGATTATATTATAAGTTATATATAGCATATTATAATAATATACTATTATATTCTATATAATATAGTTGATAATATAATATATAGTATGGAATATATCACAGAATATTATTATAATATTGTAATGTAATAATATACTATAGAATATAAACATGCTTATATTATATATATGTCTAATACACAAAGCATATTTTAATAACATATCATGTTACTATATCCTATAGTACATTATTAAGAGTAATAATTATTATTACTATTATTACTAGCATATTGCTATTACTAATGACTAGGTATATTACTATGACTATATCACTATTGGTCATATTATTATTAATATTATATTGCTATTAACTATATATTGTTAATATATTATAAACAGTAATAATATACCCTAGTATATTATTACAATTATCTGTATCCAACAGACATGTAGTAATTTAAGATTTAGAAAGTATTTTTCTCACAACTCTGGGTTAGAGACATTGTGGTGCAGTAGGAAGAATGATTAAGTTGGAATCAGAGGTCCTGGGTTCAAATCCAATCTTAATCACTTGCTATCTGTGTGATTCTGAGTGTTTAACCTTTCTGGGTCTTTGTTTCTTTTTTCTGTAAAAATAGGGTGTCAGAGTAGATAACTTCTAAAGTCCCTTTCAGCTTTCAAGCCATGATCTACAATCCAATGATCTATGATCTAGGTGGATTATCTCCACTTTGTTGCTGTTCTTTCTTGTTCTCAAAGAGGACCAACTGAATGAACTGGATTTAAGTAAGGCAAAGCTGTGCAAAGTCAGCCTCATTCTCTCCTCCAGAGTCATCTGAGTCTAGTGGCAGGACATAAGATGACTGATGATGGCTCAGGATGCAGTGGGTAGCTTTGGTCTTTCTAAATTAAGATCTTTCCCAGGTCTCAGTTTGTCTGAGGCAACACCCATTCAATGACTATGCACTAGGTGAGAACTGAAATAAAAGATAGCCTAGTTTACATCACAAAAGTATTAATCTGAGAGGGGAAGACCCTCATAGCTTCTGGCCAGAACAGAAAATGGTTGTTCTTTACAATCATTCTAAGCCATCAATACCTAAATAACAGCTACCTGAGGCTTGGGCTGGGGATTATTGTTGGCCACTCAATGAAAACTAGAGTGATTTGGGTTTAAAGGCTAGTCAGCTAGATAGTTCCATTTGAATCACAATAGAATTTTTAAAGCCTTTTTTTCAGAGTTATATTTTAAGAAATCATAAATGAAAACTGTGGGACAAAAAGTACATTGTTCTAGCTTTTCAGGAAAAACGAACAAACCTTTAAAAACTCTAGCCCACAAGACCCTCCAAGTATCTTACAAAACATAAGTGACCAAAAATTATATTCTTATGGCCAGAACACCCACGTGTAAGGGGATGGTGCCCCAAATGGAGAGAGGGACCACATGTGGCAAGGGAAGGAGGAGGAAGAGGGAGGAAAAGGAAGAGAATGAGGAGGAAGTGAGGAAGAAGAGGAGGAAGAGGAAGAAGAAGAAGGAGAAGGAGAAGAAGGAGGAGAAGAAGAAGAAGGAGGAGGAGAAGAAATAACAGCATTCCCCAACTTGAATTGGCAGGTTGGGTTCCCAGAGGGCAGCTGCTACTACTACTCATAGATAACATGGCAATGTTCTCTTAAAAACCTGGTTCCCTCCTTCCCACAAATCTGCACATCGATGGAAAGACTAAGCTTAAACTTAGACCATAATCGTAGTGAGGCACACTACAAAGAGAAAAAGACTTCCAGAAGCAAGTGTTGTATGAGCGAATCTTCACTTTATACAGATGAGATAACTGAGGTTCAGGGTGTTAAGTGACTTGCCAATCATCACACAACTAGTTTGTGTCAGAGCCAGAACTCAAACCAAGGTTTTCTGACAACAAAAAAGTGTACAGTACTACCTCTGTCAAGACAACAAGTAGGAAAGAGGAGAGAGTTGGCCATGGAAGGGACCTTAGAGACCATCAAGTCATTTTACATATGCAGAAACAGACTTCATTTTCATTATTACAAAAAAAAAAAAAAAAAAAGAAAAAAAGGGTTTGTATTAGAGACCTCACTGAATCCTTTGCCCTAAGAATACTGAAGTTTGCATAGAAATTCAGTGACCACAGGTAGAAAATAGTGGGCCTTCTGACTTCTTTTTCAGGGCTCATTCCACTAGACAACACTGGGCATAAATTTGAATGCATATTTTCTTAAGGCCATTTTCAAGTTCTTGGTACTTTTGGGGCTGACCCTATAGCACATATCTTCCCTCAGCATGCATTAAATACCAAATCTGATAAAGAGAATCCTGACCTATAGTATTCACTGACTGGGGAATCTGACATGTGAAAATTATCTGGGGAGTTTCTGGTGCTTTGATGGGTGGGCCAAACATTCATATTTTCACCCAAGAGCTTTGGGTAAAAAGCAAGACAGTGTCCATTCTGCTGTTACAACTAAAGAGCCCTTTGAGTTAATATAAACCAGAGAGTAACTGGTTTCTCAGTTCTTAGGGCTGGTTTTCAACTCAGTAGTTGAAGCATATGGCTAGAGGGTGAATGATTTCTATGGCTGCTAATGGTGCTGTCCCACTGGATAAATGGAGGATTTTAATTTCTGGGGCTGTTGTCTGGAATCCTTCAACAGCATTGAAAACCCTTTAGAAAGCCCCCCTAAAAATCAATTTTTAATAAATTGGTGACTAACCTTCCTCCAGGTTTCTTAAAACATTCCCTCATAACTGATGGCTGGAGCAGCATTAAATTTTCCAATAGCAAATGGCTAGGAAATCATGCCAGTATGCCAGATCTATTGCTCACCTTCATTTCAATTTAATCTATCACACAGCAATTCAAGAAGAAAAGAAAAAAAATGATTTTCACAGCACCAGTCTCCGTTAATATTTTTCACTTGCATTTCTCCCCCCTTACTTTTGTGGTTGGTTTTTTTCATGATGAATCGAATTAAAAGACTTGCTTCAACACTTGCTTGGGCAGGTGCAGTCTTTATGCATTGACCATTAGCGATACATCAGGGAAGTTGAGCACCTCAAGTGCCCTTTCAGCTGCCTGGCAGAGAGGGGATGGGAACTTTACAACAATGATTTGAAAAGAGAAAAATAATACAACAGCTCCAATAATTAATTTATGTTCCCTTTGCCCTGTGATTTATTTACCTCCCAGGTTATGACCAGCTCAGATTTGCTGCCTCCACCTCCACTGACGTTAGCTGGGGTGACTTCAGGGACTGTGCAGAAGACAAAAAACAAGTTAGGTCATGGGGAAAAGCCAACTGAGTTCTGTGAAGGTCAGCCAGTTTATGTGACTCACTTTAAACAGTTACTGTGATGCATAGGGGCAGTGATGGTAACTCCTTGAACTTTCACTGCAGAGACCAGAGATTGGGTCATCAAAGGAGTGGTTTTGGGCCACTATTAGAAAGTGAAATGTGCCAATGAAATTGCTATTAATTACCTGTTTCCAATTTGACACGGTACAGATGTTTGTTTGATATGTCTGGTTGAAAATTCATTGATGTCTCAAAAGCCTGAGTGGTTCCATGTGATGAGGAAAGGACTGAGATTCAGATTCTAATTAAGTAGTTAAGAATTTATTAAGCACTACTCAGCACTGTTGGAGACTTACAAAAGACATGAAAAATAGAGACCCTGCCCTCAAGGAGCTTACACTCTAGATGGCGTGATGGGACATATATAAATACCCGTAACATGAGATCCATCGCAAAACAATGCCAATGAGGTCAGAATGCTACAGTACAGACTAAATGTGTAAATGCAGCAAGGTTCCATAGTACAGGAGTAATCAGAGTTGGGGTGGGATTAATCAGGGAAGACTTCCTGAAGAAGGTGAGTTTTGAGCCAGGTCTTGAAGGATGTGATGGGCAGGGGTTGACCACTGGCTCACTGGGTTTAATCTCTTTGGACCCCCGTTTTCTCTGTAAAAGAGGGGAGATGATACTGGTTTCCTCTTCCTCAGGATTATTGAGAGGAATCAATAATACTAATAAATAAAAATTCAAAGTCAATACCGTAAAAAATAAAGAGCATGTAACAAGAAGATGATTCTGTTAAATGAATGAATAAAACCAGGATTTAAATAAATCTGGTCCCTGATTTGGTGAGGAGAGCTGTACATTTCCAACTGGACAATGCTAATGAAACAGACCTTGGCGTGATTCTATAAGCACATACATAGTCCACGGTCTTGAGCTCTTAGATGTCGTGTTCAGACCCTTGTGTGGGCACATAGCTTAACAAGAAGTTATACATAGAGGAAAAATAATGGACTATAAATAGCCCCGATTCATTTCTTTTCTGCTCACTCTGTGCTTCCTTGACCTCCCAGGGACGGTCCCATGAACTAGGGCTGCCTCAAGCTGAAAGCTGGATGTGAGCACACAGAGAGCTAGGCTGAACTGCTGACTGAATTGACAGGATGTTTTGATGGCTAGTTCCCTGGGAGTAGCTTATGCAGTAAGAAAATGTCAGTGAAAAAAAAATCTATAGAATTGTTACTCTGTGGCATTAGTGATTGTGAGGAGATGACCTTATTTGGAATAGATTTTTTTTTTCACCCTATTAGAAGGATGTTGAGGCTAGAGTACAGGTGAAGAAAAGAGTCAATGCTTCTGGGAGGAAGGCCAATAACAATGCATTTGCAAATATAGCCATGGGATAGTGTCTAGTGAAGCATGGGAATAGAATACTTGTTTTGAGACCTCATTTGCTCTGCTAAGCTGCTTCCTGACTAGCTTGTTTTCTGTCCATTATAATCTCTCAAAGGGAAGGGTGAGCTAACACAGTGCCTCATTACAGCCTAAATGTATAGAAAATTAAACACCTTTTCCCCAGAAAACAGTCTAAGAACACTAGAAACATGAGGTTAGCAATTCTGGGCATTACTCACGGGCTTCCTCAGTTCTTCGTTTCTCTGAAGGTCTGCTTGGTTCCCCAATTCCAATGGTGTTGGCCGCAACGACACGGAATTCATATTCAACCCAAGGGTTCAGGCCCACCACAGTAGCAGTAAATGTCCTCCCATCAATCAGTTCTGGGACTGAAAGAAAGCACAGATGGGTACATTTTCACTAATTTCTTTGGCAATGGAGAGGAACGTGGTGGGCAAGAGTGGTGTGGCATGAGAAACAAGGAATTATGCAGGAGAATTGCTTTAAAGATGTCATAAAGGAAACATGAGTGAAAAGGGAGGGACTGGTTAGGAGGTGAGAATCAGAAATAACCTGAGAGGTGACTAGTGGGTTCTACTGGTATTGTCCTAAGGTGAAGAGAAAGTGATGATGCCCTTCAGAAAACTGCGCAGACCTTATCTCTGGTGAAGTTATTGGTAGACATCAGCAAGAGTCACACAGGTTAGGCAGGAGGGCATGGGTTGGGATTGGTATCATCAGAGGGAATGTCCCTATCTGTGAGATCACAGACCTCTATCAAGCACCCACCAAACCTCAACATTGGAATGCTGATTTATCCAGTTTCCAAGTGTGTTAATGGGATGGCTACGTTATTCAAGACAGTCAAATGGATTATGGTGGAATGGTATGAAGAGAATCTGAGGATGGGTTTTGGTTGTGATACTTATTACCTGTATGTCCCTGGGCAAGTCATTTAATTTCTTTCAGCCTCAGTTTCCTCATCTATAAAATGCAGATAATGATACTTATAGACTCTACCTCAGGGTTGTCTGTTATATAAATGTCCCAGACTTAAAGTTTGATGGTATGGATCATCACAATGGTCACTGGAGGTAGACTTTACTTTCATAGCACTTTGTATTTTTAAAAAAAGATTCATACATATGAATATGCAGTGTGGTCTAGTGGGAGTTCAAATCCTTCCTCTAATAGTCACACCTCATTAATATCCTCAGTTTCCTCAGTCAGTTTGACTCGAGGGCTGGAGGGTGGAGTATAAAAGTCTCCTAAACTCTCATTTTAAAGAGGGTCCAGAAGTATAGCCAGCTCTTCATTTTCCACCAGCTGCACTGCCTGGTTTCGACTACGATACTACATGATTCCACCATGATCCTATTCCTTTACTGGGTCCCCTTCGTCCCCTCCCCAGCTTTTCAGCTTCCTTTTGTGTCCTGTTTTCTCTGACCGTAATAATAATAGCTAATATTTACATAATGCTTATTATGTACCAAGGACCGGACTCCTGGAAGGCAGGGATTCACTACCTTTTTCTTATTTGTATTCCCAGCACGTAGTACAGTGTCTAGCACTTAGGAAGTGCTTAACAAGGGTTTATTGCATATTATTATATCATATACTTGCTAGCCATGGAACCCAGGACAAATTCCATAATTTCTCTGTGCCTCAGGTACCCCAAGGACATGTCTAATAAGTCATGGACTGCCTCAATCTGCATCACTGGGCAGAATTTTCCACAATGACTAGATGTGCTTCACATATATCATCTCAGATGAAACTTGTATGAGTCCATGGTGGAGGCAGATTAGGTCTTATCCTCCCTATTTCACAAAGGTGGAAACGGATGGACAAACAAAGTGTTTTGTCAAAAGATAGGACCAGGACTGGAAGTCAGTTCTGACTCCTAGTTCTATGATGTTCTCATAATAATTACAAAAATAATTCATGTTTACACACAGCACTTTAAGGGTTGTAGTGCATATACAACAAAGGACACTGTGAGGTAGTGGGTGTATGTCAATATCTATTATTTCCATTTTGGAGATGAGGAAATTGAGGCTGAGAGAAGTTAAATGACTTTCCCAAGATCATCACTAGCAAATGTCAGAGCAGGGCTCGCATATCGATTCTCTTGGTTCCATTACGCTACAACCCATTGTCTGTACTAAAAAGTTAACCCTTCCATTAACCCACATAGAAGCTGAATGACTCAACAATCTAGCAACCAGACATCTGAGAAAAACAGTCTTCAAATAAACACAAAGAGCCTGGGCCTGGAAGCCACCAAAAGACCCACTCTAGCTCACTGATTCAGCCAATACCTATTTGGTAGAAGCCATCAAAACCACTCTCTTCACTAATTCTTCATATAGTAGAAAGAATATTGGACCTGGAGCTCAGATTCCAGTTCTGTTGCTTACTACCTTTTGACCAGACAAGTTACCATATCTCTCTGGGTGTGCCTGGATTTTCTTATCTATAAAATGAGAGAATTGGTTTAGGCGGACACTAGAGTCCCAACTACCTCTAAGTCTATGATCCCAATGATTCAACTATTCATTTATTTGACTTGTTACATTGATTTTGTGTATACAAAGAAATCAGTCAATTCAGTGAAAGAATGTGTCAATAAAATCTGGTTTTTGTTTGTTTTGATTTTAAACTGTGGTTCTGTATCAAAATTTCTCCATTTATAAAGTGGATCTATGTTTATATGTATATACACACATATACATAGAGGGGGAAAGACATGTATTTCCTAATTTGTCCGTTTTATAGATAGAGAAATTTTGTCACAGAACCACAGTTTAAAACCAAAGCATACATAATATGTGTGTATATATTATATATATTTTGATTTTAAATATATATCAAACATTTTACACACTTACACACACACACACACACACACACACACACACACACACACTCCTAGAACATTAGAATTGGAAGAAAAAAATTAAAGACCACCAAATCTACACCCTGACCACATCTAATCCCATTTTATAAGGAAGAGAACTTAGAAAAAGACATGAAGTGGGCCTCATTCTAGGTGATGCAGCTAGCTAGTGAGGGTAAGTGAAAGACTTCTTGTCCTTAGTCCTGGACATGAGGCTGGTCTCAGGAGGTCACCTTGTCTAAGGACTGGTTTGCCATCACTTGATCCCCATATATAGATCACTTCCCAATGCTGCTGAACCAAGTTACCTGTACTGACTGCTTGCCAGCCCACGGAAAATGGTGTTCTGGCCTGAATGACATACATTGTGACAGGGCTGTGGTTATCTGCTCCTGGCCTCCAGGACAGCTGGGCGGTGGTATCTGTGATTTCATCGATAGTCACGGCCTCTGGTGGGCCTGGGGGACCTGAGAGAAGAAATAGATAAAAAATGATGAAAATCTCTAAATTGAGGTTCTAGATTGTAGGAGTGTGATACGTAAAAAAGCAACCTAAATTAGAAAGGAAGAGAAATTGTCTTAGTCATGTGATCCCTGAGTCAATTCACCAAGTTAGCAACCTCCCCACCCCAAAATTAATTTGTGAATTTTTTTTTAATGTTTACATGCTCTACTTCCTCCTCTCAGTAGTATGTTAAGCTGATGGAGCATTATTTAATTTTGTCTTTATATCTCCAGTGCTTAACATTATATCTTATACTTTTTGTTTTGGACTTAAGAGTTATATAAACTTTCACAAGGAAACTCCTCTGTACTGATTCAATTAGCCACCTAATGCACCTCTGTAGTGTTTAGTCTTAGAGATTTTTCTGATGCCACTCAGAGGACAAGTGACACAGGTAACCTTTATTAAAGGCAGAACTTGAACCCAGGTCTTCTTGGCTCTGAGGATGGTTAATTGTCCACTGGAATACATTGCCTCTATATCTTGCACATAGTGCTGGGAATTGGACCTGCGATTTCTTGGGCATAAGGAACAATCAGGTAAGGAAACTCCTACGATTGTAAGCTGGCACCTTCTCTACAGCTTGCCTAGAATGATAGGCGGTGTTGAATGACTTTTCCAGGGTCACAAAGCCAATGCATGTCAGAAGCAGGATGTGAAATGAGGTTTTCCTGGCATTAAGGGTGGCCTCCCATCTATGACCCCATGCTGCCTTTCTTGCCATGCCTTGTACAAAGCAGTGCTTAATAAACACTAGTTGAATTGGAAACAAAACAAAGCAGAACCCCAACAGTCATGGAGTGTTCTTTGCCTTCTCATTGTATTAATATTACAGAAATAAAAGCTACAATTGGGGGGGGAGGTATATATGTGTGTGTGCGCATATGTGACTATGTGTCTATTCAGTATTCAATAATCTTGAGCCTGTCTTACGTCTCCAAAGGCCCTGCTAACAAGACCCTCATTTACACATGCCTGCAGGTCAACCTGTATTTCTAAACTTATCAGCATAGAGTTCATTATTTCTGCCTAAACCCTTAGTCCATTTAAAAGAAGAAAATCAGATTCAAACAATGGTCCAGAAATAATGAAACAACAGAGAAGCTCTGTCCCTGTAGGCAGGCCAACATAAAATACATCCCAGGCCAGAATCTGAACTAATTTGCAACCTAAGAATCTCTTACAGGCAGTGAAAATTATTTCTAATAAGCCACAGGTGTCTGCCTCAGGAGGCGAGGGGATTGTGAGAGGCTCTTATCCTACCATTCTCGAATCCATAATCTCTGAATGAGGATAAAGGCCTTGCTAGGTCCTTCCTAGGTCCTTCCTAATCCTTGCAGTGCTGAAATGCCACTGGGCTGGGTCATTTGGGCAGGTAAAAACTGATACTTAACAAGGTCACAAGGGTTTAATGGAGATTTCCAGGAGCCAGACTTTGCCCTAGGATGGACCCTCACATTCTTTATCTGGTATTCTGGATTTAACTCCCTTAAAAATAAAATGAAATGAACCAGAAAGCCATTTGACCAAAGCCCAGGTGAAACACAAATTACTCTCCCCCTCTCTCTGCCCCGTTGGGAGTGTCTAACCTCAGGCTGATTCATTTTCCACTGTGACATTTGAGAATGTCTTTCTCACATCACTGAGAGGGGGATGTGGTCACCTCAGCTTCCCGAGACCCTTATTACAGAGATAAACCCTAGTTGTCGATGGTGCTTTTCTATCCTCTGCTCCCCTTCTTTTCTTTACAGATTCGGCTGCAGTGCCCTTTAAAAAGCTGAGAATCACAAACAGAAAATTGCTCTACTCCCAGGCCCTGAAAGGAGTAAATCAATAGACACACAGGAGCATACAGAGGAGATGGAAAGCTATCAAGCCAGAAGGTCTGAGGTTGGCTGTTTAGAGGAGAAGCCCTCCCTACTTCTCCTTACATACTGGTGGCTTTGGGTTTTTCAAAAAGCGAAGTTTATGTCCTTGCTACTGGTTTGCTAACTTTGTTTTGGGGAAGTTACTTCATTTGTGTTCTCAAAAGAGCCCTCTTTTGAAATTTTGGGTGAACCTATTTATCCTTCAGACTAAACAGTAACTTGGTCTCAGAGCCTTAGAGGGAAGCGTGAACTCTGACCTCCAAACCTGTGGGATCCTTAAGAGAGATCTTGCAGAGTTTGCTGCTTCCCAAGGTCCCTACCATTATGGCTTCCGTATGTCATGGCATAGCTATTGGGTTTCACTGGAGTGGACTTCCAGGGTATAATGGCGGGGGAGGATCTTAAGGTATATATGTGTGACCATTCCTTTGGCAGTCTGGTGAAGCTTATGGAACCCTTCTCACAAAAATACGTTTAAATGAATAAAATAAAATAAATAGGATTACAAAGGAAATTACAAATACGATCATCAAAATTATTTTTTAAAAAGTTCACAGATCCTAGGGGAAGAAACCTGGTATGGACTCCACTTAAGCAGAAAAGATAGGAAAACCAAACTATCTCAGGAAGATAAAATGTGAGATTGTGGGTGGTTTAAAAAATAAACGCATGGTAATTTATTGGTCTTATTCACTGATTAAATTTTCTTTTAGACTGGTACTTGCAAATTCCTCTTGATATTTAATGTTATTTTCTGTGAAATGAGGTAGATGATATTATTTAAGAACATCAAGTATTACTAATTTAAAGATTTAATAGTCTAATTTATTGGTGTTTTAGCTGCTCATCTGAACATTATCCTAATTAAAGAGAGGATTAATTTTCGGTTGCAGGATTCTTTTATCTCTGAGGTAAGAATAGACAAACCATAGTGGTTTGCTTAAAAACAAATGAACAGTAATCATTTTCTACACTCAGACCAAGGACAAATTAGTGGCTTTTCCTAGATCAGATCTCACTGATCATTCTTGCTCCTAAATTGTGTGGTGCAAAGAGATATTTGCGGCCATTAGAAAGGCTTTATAAATGTAAACAGCTTGAGGGCAGGAGCGATTTGGTTTTTTGTCCCTATATCCCCAAAACTTAGAACAGGTCTAGTTGAATCCATTAGTTTGAGGGGAATGTGACCCTGATCAAACTTCTACCAGGTCACATGCCTCAGTAGATAAATATATTAAACCCCCCCCCCCCCCCCCCCCCCCCCGCTCTCTCTTAGTGCTCATTTCTCTATCTCTGATTATTTTTCGCTCCTCCCTCCCCACTATGTGTATATCATGGACTCTTCCCTTGGTCTCTGAGATGTAGTTATATTTCTTGCAGGTATATAGTCGGACTAAAGAAGGCTTCATTCCAGAAGCTCTTTTGATAGGTCTATTTCTGGCATGATGTGGTTTCACTGTAATTTTGTCTCAAATTTGTTTGACCAAAAGAAAAAAAATCAGTTTGCATGATTAATTCAGGCGTTTGGCATTAATCTGGCATTTGCAGTTCATTTTGGTTCTATTCCTTCCTGGCTGGTTCAGCCTTTTCCCCAAGCTATCGTTGCCATGCTCTAAGAGAATCCAGAAAATGTCCTGAGTGGAACCTAGAATCGTAGACCTTTTCCTTGTTGATTTTCATCTCTGGTTCTCTTATCCAATCCATGTAGACTGGATCTTCCCAAAAGCCATTTTAAGAAAACTGGAGAAACTCTTGCCAGCTATGGTAAAAGTAGCACCTAAGCAGGATGAAGCAATTCATTTAACTTCCCTCAAACTAGATGCTCTTAATCCAAGGTACTGCTGGGCTAGTGACCTAAAGCTCTAACTTTGAGCCAAAACGAGGTATCCAAGCACACTGCTTGATATGCCAGCATCACTCCATTTGTTCTTGTTAATCCAAAGTTGCCTAGGAAGGTAATATTAACTCCAACAGCTTGATTCAGTGTACCCATGGGAGCTGTTTTCATTGGGGGAAAAATTTAATGAATGGCTCATGGCAATTTATGACAATATCATATCAGGAACAGAAACGCCACCTCCCTCCAAACACCTAAACACTTTTTGCATGTTGCTATGTACTGTTTTAAATCTCTGTTACATAGGGCTTCCTAGTTTACCACTCACAGTAATTGTAAACCATTGGGATTTTAATGGATAGCTATGAAAACCCACACTGGAACTGATATTGTAAAATAAGATATTTTTAGGACATTAAAAATCTAAATACCTCTTACAATCAGGTCTGCAGTTGCTGATATCTTGTCCACACTTGTTTGTACCATGCAGACATATTTCCCAGCATGCTTCAGCTGGATACTTCGGATCATCAAATCACCAGCTGAATCCTGCTGATAAAGTAGAGAAAAGTGGCTACAATTACTTTTTAATGAGCTCTAAATATCATTATCACATGAAGGACACTGTGACTAATGGATTTATTTTACACTGGCTGATGAAAACATTAGTAATGCAAGCTATGGCCTGTTAAAAATATGTGAGCCTGCCTGGGAGATAAGAGCGCTAACATTTCCAAAATGCAACTTTGAAGAGACCCAAGGAATCTGATTTGGGTCACTTAAACAGTCTGCCATTTGCAAGTGACTCACCTAAACTTATATTAAGGGCAGCTCTGTCTAAACCCTGTCTATTTCTCCATCCATCCACAATTTATAGACTTCATTGATATTCTCATGTCTTCCAGGCTATTCATATTTATTTGGAAAAGGGAAATGAACACAAATTTAGAGACATCAGCATTTCACTGCACATATTTCTGTCTTATAGGCAGTGTTTTGATTGCTTATATTTTTGTATTGAAAGATTATGAGAACCCCTGTTCTCCAAGGAAAATCTTACATCCCCTAATGTGGAATGGGGCTAATTTGTTTTCCGAATGCCAAATGCATGTTTGATTAGCAGATGTATAAGCTTAATTACATCACTGCATGTATGTCTATGTAGCTCAGAAATATTGCTATACCATTCAGTTGTGGTAGGCTCTTAATAAGTTGAAAGGGATGCCTCCTTGGGAGGCTGAGGATTGTGGCATTTTAATTGAGGAATGCTGCTAAACCTTGAAGTTTGGTTTATATTGAATAAATGAAAACATCTGCCACGGACACGAAATACTTTGATAGTACAGGTATTGAAGTCATGCTTTCTTCTCATCAATCCAAGAGTTAACAGAGAGTCTCTCGGAATCCCTCTCCCCAGTGACTGAGTTTCCACGAACAAGAGAAGGCAGAAGCCAGCAGAGATGTTGGGATTTGCCATCTCATCAGAGTTTTCCAGTGGGACCAGGTCCTCCATCTCCCCCATCCCTGCTGGGAATGGACATGATTCTTTTACTTCCTTCCTTTCAGTTTGCTTCATCACATTCACCTCTACCAGGAGCAATTAAAAGAAACAAGACCTTCCTTTGTGGCAACCAGGAAGGTGATTAAACCCATGCTAAATTATGTCTAAGTGGGCAAGTTAAATGATGCAGATTCCAACCCATGGAGAATGGGGCTGAGTTTTCACACAGAAGCAAATTTTCCACTTGTACTTGGGAGAAAGGCTTAAAAGAGATTTCTGTAATGGCCTCCCAGATCAGACATTTCTCCTTTTTCCTGGATGTTGGGGCTGCAAGCATGGGTTGTGATAGTTGTCTTTAAGCGAAGTGGGGGAATTGTACTCAGGTAGGGGCTTGGGGAGTATTTCTCAATAGTTCTAAGGCAGGGAGATGACATGTCATAATGGTTCCAGTTGGTCTTGGAATCAGGAATAGGAGTTCAAATCTTACTTCTGACACATACGGACTCTGTGACGCTTAGCAAGTTGCAGCTTCTAGATGTCCCCCAGGAAGCTCTGTAAGACTATAACTTGCAGATCTACAGGAGTGTTTTCAAAGGCAGTTCCCCACCCCAACCAGTCAATACCAACAGTCCTCCAGTGAAATGCAAAGTACATAGAGTTGATATCTGAACTCGTGCTAATAAAACTTAACCCTAATTAAATCAGGTCCTGCCCAGAAAAAAAAAGTCCTAAGGAAAATGTTAACACCAGCATTTTCATTAGATTAATTGTGCTAAATGAGCAGCTAGTAAGCTCTATATGAGGCTACCCAGACAGTAAATACTGAAAAGGCAAGAGAGAAACTGATGGCTATCAATGGTGAAAGCCACCATCAGGGAGCAGGGCCTCCTAGGGCTGTCTTCCCAGACTAGGAGTGAATAGTCCTGGATCTGTTCAGGGAATGGTCCTCCATCATCATCATCTAGAATTAGGTAGAGTTGCCATTGCTATCCAAGACCAGAATGTCATCTCTTGTCCATTGCTAGTAGAGATGGAGGACAGGGAGGACCTGGTCCTCCTGGGAAACTTTGATGAGATGTTCTGTGCCTGTCTGGGACCAGAATGTCAGACACCAGACCTCTTACCTCCATGACCCTATCCAGAACCAGAGCCTCAGGCACCAGGGCCCTTACCTCCATGACCTCACTTAGGGCCAGGACTCTGGAACTGTGCCTTTGACCCTACTCCAGCCTATCTAGAACATCAGAACAACCCCTTCTAGGACACTGGACCTGGTCGTTGATCAATCCATAAGCATTATTAAATGCTTACTAAATTCCAGACACTGTGATAAGCACCGAGAATAGAAGGAAAAAACAAAGTAAGTCTTCTCTTTTGAGTTTCATTGTATCGAAATGCATCATCTTCTGCATATCTGGCAGCAGCTGTCCACTGGCTCCTGTTTCCTCCAGGAATTGAGCACCTGGTTCAACATCTTTCTCTTCATCCCCAACTCAAGTTTTCATGCTTAGGGACTCAGATATGAACCCTCAAACACCTTGGCCTTCCAGTTCACCAACATACATAACCCATTGCTTACATTTTAATTGCACCTCAGTCACACACCTGGCTAATTATACTTCTACTCCATCTATCATATGTGACAATTTTTTTTTAAAGAAAAGATGAAATGGCAAAAATGTACTTGGGAAGAAGCTTGGCTATACTCAGGGGAGTGCAGGAGATGGTTCTATTCCTCTTTGATCCAAAACTGCAATTCTTCTATGTCACTATAACCTCTTGTCCTTCCATCTCTCTCTGGGCCTCATTCTCTTAACTAATTCTTTGCCCTCACAAGCACCTCTACTCACTCCTGCCATCTCTCCCTTTCTTAGCAATCATCATTGCTCTGACCTAATTTTTCCTCTTTGCAGTCTCGAACCTTGACCTGTGTGCAAATATACCCTATTCCCTGAATCCTATTAACAATCAGGCCTTACCAAACCCTAGCACAGGTGGGGAACTGCGCCTTGAGGCAACATGTGGCCCTTTAGGTCTTCCAGTGCAGCCCTTTGACTGAATTCAAACTTCCAAATCTGTATCCAAAGTTTGGATTCAGTAAAAGGGCCACACTTGAGGACCTAGAGGGCCACATGTTGCTTTGGGCTGCAGGTTCCCCACCCCTGCCCTAGCCCCTTGCTATTCTCACCATTGGCCTGTTGAGACCAAATACCAAAGCTACAAAACTGTGCTAACTAGGTCCACTTTGGATCTGCCAGCTGATAAAAAGTATAAGGAGCAATGTTAATAAAACATTTTAGAGTTTGCAAAGTACATTGTGTATATTATCTGCCAATCCTTTTATTCTTTTTTTTTCCTCGGCAATTGAGATTAAGTGACTTGCCCAGAGTCACACAGCTAGTAAGTGTCAAGTGTTTAGTCTGAAGTCAGATTTGAACTCAGGTCCTCCTGACTTCAGGGCCAGTGCTCTATCCACTGCACCACCTAGCTGCCCCCAAATCCTTTTATTCTTCCCCAATTGACTCTATCACATTCCTCACAGCTGCTCTGGATTCCTTTTCTCCTCAAACCTTCCCTCTCTCTTCGAATCCACCTCTTAGCATCCTTAGCCTTCTTCAAGGCGCAGCTCCTATAATACCTTCTCCAGGAAGATTCTCTTGTACCCTCAGTTGTCAGAGAACTCTCTCTTCTCAAATCATGAAAGTTATGTTTACCTATTTACATTTTGTCTTTATATTCTCAGTATTACGCATGGTGCTTTGCATGTTGTAGGGCCTTATTAAATGCTTACTGGATTATATTGGATGTTACATTTTGGGAAGGTGGGATTCCACACTAGTTTTAAAGGCAAATTATCTATACTGGACAAATTATTCATTTTATTCACCATTTTAATTGTTATAAAGAAAATTACTATATACCAGGGGAGTCTATCTTAATAAAAATGCTCCACTCTGTGAATTAAATTATAATCTACTGATTAAAATTTTTGACCTGCTTTCTATCAAAACTTGAAAAAAATTGAGGTTAAGGTAGACTATAATAGCAAGAAACAGGAATGACCTATTTTCTCTAAAACCCTTCAGGTCATACTGACAATGAAATCATCATTCATTCATTCGTTTGTTCATTTGACAAACATTTATTAGTCATGCTTATATGTAAGGCACCATGACAGTATAAAAGAGGTTATAAAAATACATAAACTAAAATCCCTGCCCTTGAGAAATTCCTAATCTAGTAAGGAAAAAACTAATAAATTATTACAATTAATAAAATAAAAATTAATGCAAAATTAATTATAATACAAAGTAGAATGCTACATCACTAGATATGGTCAAAGAGATTTAAAAGAGGGAGAGATCACTTGCAGTTAAGGGAATAAGTGAAAGCTTAAAGGAGGATATGCTACTTAAGTTGGGACTTGAAGAATGGGTATATTTCAATAGGCAGAGATGAGTGTGGACTATCCCAAGAGAAAGGAGTGATGGGAGCAAAGGCATGAGGAGAAAAAGTTTTTATGTGATAGAGGAGTGGCAAAATAATCCAGTTGGCTTGGATGGAGTAGTTGTAAGGGAAGCAATGTAAGACAAGGCTAGAAAGGTAGATCTGGGCCATGCTATAGAAATCTTTGACTGCTGGGCTAACGAGTTTGAATTATATCTTCTATTGGCAATGGGAAAGGCAGAGATCACTGAAAGGTTTGAGCCAGAGTGTTAAGCAGGACTGTGGTTTATAAAGCTTTCCTTGGCACAGGAGTGCATGATGATGCAGAGAAGTGACTGGAACAGGAGAGAACCCAACTAAGAAGTTATTGCCAGCATAGAATTGGACAAAAGTGTTCTTAATTATATCTTTTATTTTTTCTTCATTTGTTGATTTCTCCTTTCTGATACTAGTAATTTCTTCTTCTTAAACACACTGGTTAATGGTTTGTTCAAGGAATTGCTGGAGTTAGCTTGAACTGGCCCCTGAAGGTCAATTGTTAAATTTTCAGTGTGAGCATTTACACTTCTGAAATAAACAAATGCTCCAAATCAGTGCTTGATTTTTTTGTTTTCTTCATTGTTTAGACTTAAGAAATTGACGAGAAAATGTAAATAATGCAGATTAAACTTCAAAGTACCACATTTTTTTTTCTCAGAGAGTTGGTTGTTAAACATTTCATAGTACATGTCACTTTCTTTTCTTCTTCAAAAATCCAGCTCCTCGTTTTATTTATTTAATCAATTTTTCTTCTTTCAATTTTGTTAATTTCTTCATTGATTTTGAGGATTTCTATTTTGTTGTTTAATTTGGGTTGGGACAATGGGGAATAGAGCTGGGATGAGAATGAAAATTAAGGGGTGGTGCATTAACAATTTTTTTTCTTCTCCCCAATTATGGCCTGATCCATTCCTGTGGGGGCTTAACAGTGCTACCTTCCACCGATTTTTTTTTTGTGTGCAAAGTGCTTTGTAAACCTGAAAATGCTATATACAGGTAGGTTGTTTTTGCTAGACAAAGATGAAGTAAAATTTTCTGCAAAAATGTGACAGGTCTGGCATAACCAGCACTATTTTCAGCAAACTGACTTAGGAAATAAAGAGTTTAAAATGGACTTGAGGGTAATTTTGCCTGCCATTTATACATTTCCTGCAGCCCCAGAAACATTATTTGTTTCCTCTGTTGCTAATGTTCTTCTATCCCATACTTTCCAGCCTATTTCTGAAATTTACATCTATTGCTCAGAAATGCCTGGTTTGCTAACAACTGATTGGGGGGGGGGGGTGGCGGCAATGACAATGTCATGTATAGATTACTCCTAAATGAGGTGTAAATGAATGTTCAGCCTTATTAGAAGAGCCTGGCTTAATGCCTAAATTCATCACAATTTATTTTCTTTGGGAGACTATTTTCTGTAAAAAACAATCTACCTTTTGAGAATGTTTATTGGAAGCCTTGAATAAGGAAAAGATTTGATTATTAGTACATCTGCTTGAAATATATTAAAGTATGAAGAACAATACCTTGGTAAATTTGGTAATTTCTCTCAATTTACACTTCCCTGTTCTTTCAAACATCTTTAATCCCCTTTCCTTGCAATTTCCCCAAAAATGTTAGGGAAGTTTCACTGGATACTCTCCAATAGAATACAAACTGATACTTTGTATTTATAAATTGCTCTACAATTCACCAAGCATTTTCTTCAGAATGATTTCACATTTATTAAGGGTGCATAGTGCCATTACTGTTCTCTCTTTTTTATAGAGCAGAGAACTGAGGTTAAGCATTTGCCCAAGGTGGAAGTCACATGATTAACGTAGGAATGACAAAGCAAGATTTGAACCCAGATTTGGGGGATCCTAACCCAGGACAATTTCTGCTAGGCTCCTAATACACTCTGCTGCTGCTATAAGCATTATCTTTAATGACTTCTGGTGGTGCTAATGAGCTTACTCAACAACCTAAGTGCAGGGAAGGAAGCTGCCACGGGCAGTTTGCTGAATCTGCTGTTCAGTCATTTTTTAGCTGTGTCTGACTCTCTGTGATTCCATTTGGGATTTCCTTGACAAAGATACTGCAGTGGATTGCTATTTCCTTCTCCAGCTCTGTTCATATATGAGGAAACTGAGGCAAACATGTTGAAGTAACCTGTCAAGGGTCATCCAGTTAGTAACTCTCTGAGGCCAGATTTGAACTGGGGAAGATGCATCTTTCTGACCAGGCCCAGTGCTCTCTCTACTATGCCATCTAGCTGCCCTTGATGAATCTGCTTCTATGATATATTGGTGCAGAATGAAGTAAAAGCGGTCCTCATTCCTAAAATGCATCCCTACAATCCTCTTTATCTCTGATGCTCAGAATTCTTAGCTTCAGTCACGCACCACATCATCTGTGTAGCCTTCCCTGATGTTCTCAGCTGTTAGTGTTCTTGCCTTCCTCAAACTACCTTATATTTAAGGTAACATATTCACTGGGGAGACAGGGTGGGCAGTGGAATGGTTTGAATCCTGTCTCTGACAACTAACTTATGTAACTGTAGGCAATTTGGTTAAACCTCTCTGGGCCTCATTTTCTCCGTCTATAAAACAAAGAGGTTATGCTAGATGACTTCTAAGGTCCCTTGTAGACCTAAATCTATGATTCTTTATTTAATGCTGCCTACTCCCTCCCACCACAAAGCAATTGAATGTAAACATCTTCAAGGCTGAGCCTATTTCATTTTTACATTTGCATATCCCCAGCTCCTGACACAGTGGTTTGCTCATAGTAGGTGTTTAACAAACATTTGGTGGATTGAAATTAATTGAATGAGAAATCCTGAAAAATCAAAGGAGAGATTAACAAAATTGGAAGAAAAAATCACTATTGAATTAATAAATAAAACTAGGAGTTTTTTTTAAAAAAATGCAATAAAATAGCCATTAGCTAACTTGATTTTTTAAAAAAAAGAAAACTAAATTACTAGCAAAAAAAAGGAGAAAAGTTAAATTCACAATGGAGCAGAAATAAAATATATTATTAGGACCTATTTTGCCCAATAAAATTGGCCATCTAGATGAAATGGATATTTACAGAAATATAAATTGCCCAGATTAATAGAACAGAAAGTAGAATAATTAAACTTAATCAAATGCTTAAGAATTTCCTCGAAAAGTATCTCTCAGCAAAAATCTCAGATATACTTTTTAAAAGAAGCAATAATTTTAATTATCTCTTAAATTGCTTTTAAATTAATTTGTGTCACCTTAGGAAATTGGACAGATTTTGGTCTTCCATTGGATGTTTAATATTAATACTTACCCCTCCTACTCTTTCAAAATGGTCACCATCTTTGTCAAAGTCAATCAGGCGTCCATTGAATGACCAAGTAAACACAATGTCCAGTGAGTGGTCATGGGATACTTGGCAAGGCAGGACAATGCTTTCTCCAACAGTAACATCCATACTGGAGGGTGGCACCAGAAGGCGGGTTGGATCTGGAAACAACAACAACAACAACAAAAAACCAAAAACAAATAAACAAACCAGAATACTAATGAGACTCTGTGGAGCTCAAGCACCAATGAATATTTCAAGCAAGCCATTTTGAGAGAAGGTTAGAAAGTGAAAAGCTTAGATTCTATTTAGTCAGTTATTTTAAACATGAACAAAAAAAAGATTTGTTTATTCATTTATTCAACGCATTTCAACCAATACTCATAAAGTACAAAATACTGTAGGTCCAAGGACACTCCTTGTTTTCAAAGACTTTACATTCTTCTTAGAGGTTTGACATAACATGCCAGCTAGTCAGTCAACCAGTAAACATGGATTAAACACCTACTATGTGCCAGGCATTGTGCAAGCTTTGAGGATACAAAGATGGTTGAAAGACAATCCCTGCCCTCAAGGAGTTCCTAGTCTAATGGGGGAGACAACATGTATAAAACAATGTACAAATTCTATACCGAATATCTTGGAGATAATCACCAGAACTGATTGAGCACTAGAATTAAGGGAGTTTGGGAAAGGCTTCTTAAAGAAAAAGAAATTTTCGCTGGGACTTGACAAAACCCAGAAAAGTCAGAAGGTAGGGATGAGGCTGAAGAGAATCCCAGGGACAACCAGTGAAAAAGCCCAGGGCTGAGGAAGAAGTGTCTTGTTTGGGAAATAGAAAGAAGGTTAGTGTCAATAGATGACATGTACATAGTTGGGGAGAGGGATTATAAACATGTATAATATGTTGTATAAAGCAAATACAGAGTAATTTTTTTGGTGAGGTGGGGCACTAACAAATGGGAAGGAGGAGGGTCTCAAAAACAAAGATATATTCAGTGCCTACTAGGGTTAGTGCTAGGTGCTGTGGGGATAATTTTTGGGAGAGAAGTCTGGTCCTCTGAGTTTACCTATGTATTTACAGAGCCCGCTATTGAGGAAATTCCTGCCTCCAATACAGATCGCAAATATTCCATTATTTAGTCTTAGGGAGGCTTGTCTGGGGGTTTGTAGCCAGTATGTATTAGAGGCCAGACTTAAACTCAGGTCACCCTCTCTTGAGGACTTGACTCTAGGCCTATTCTTTAGCTGGTTACCTCTTAAGTTGTGGGAGATACAATGATGAGCAAAGCCTGCCTTCAAAGAGCTTGCACTCTTGTTATTCATCCTTTGTTTTTGTTTTTTCTTTTTTTTTTGGCTAGGCAATGGGGTTAAGTGACTTACTCAGGGTCACACAGCTAGTATGTATTATGTGTCTGAGGACAGATTTGAACTCAGGTCCTCCTGAATCCAGGGCCGGTGCTCTATCCACTAAGCCACCTAGCTGCCCCCATCCTTTGTTTTTGAAGAGGACCAGTGATATCATGAGTTCCTGTCTTGACTTGAGTATGAACTGGATTTAAGTGAGACAGACTTACACAAAGTCATCAGCCTCACTCTCTTCCAGAGTCACTGAAGTCCAGTGGCAAGACAAAAGTAAAGACAGTGGGTGAGGGCCTGGGATGCAATGGATGACCTTGGTGTCTTTGACATCTGACCAGGCTCTGAGAGCTGAAGCTGGTTCAGCTCATCTGCTGAGACAGTTTTACTGGGTAGTGGCTGCTGTGCATGCTACAGCTTCTTGGAGCCACAAGTGAGAGTTGGGTGGCAGATAGACACCAAAGGAGCAGCCCAGAAAAGGGCTTGGCAAGTCCTCATGCCAGAGGTACTAGTCCTCCTTGAATGCCCCATGCAACCCTTGCAATCCTGCAGAGAACAACCAAATACACTTTGGCTCTTTTGGGAAAACAGGGGTAACTGATGAACAACATGAGAATCAAAGTGTAGCTGCTTTTACTTACTATTGGATGAGCCAAATCGAATGTGAGATGCACAGGAAAAAGCAGAGGTAGCCTGCCAGTCTCCCTGCAATGGAGTCATGGTGGGCTGTATCTATGGTATGAAATTTAAAGCATAGGATCCAGAGATGGAAGACACCTTAGAGATTGCCTAACTTTGTAGAAATACGGGCTCAAAATTTTAACCAGACATAAATACAGCCAGGTCATAGGATAACTGATTTAGTACTGGAAGAGGTCTCTAGTCCAAACCTTATTTTAGAGAGGGTCCAGGGAGAACATATCCAAGGCCACACTGGTAACTGTGGCAACATTGGGATTAGAAGCCTGGTACTTTGCAGAATATTCTGACTGCAGAGCCAGTCTTCTTTCCACTGTATCACACACACTACATCATAACAACATATTTAACTTATGGGGGAAGAAGATAGTAAAAAAAAATAATACTATTCTAAGTAAAATCTTGAAGTAAAAATGACTGTTGCTGATTTCTCCAATACACATATGGTTTCTCCACTCACTGACCAAACATTTCTGAAGTACTTATGCGTGTAGTAATCTGCTGGGTCTCAGCAGGGCCATAAAGGAAGGAAGGCAGAGGGTCTGCCTTCAAGGAGCTTACCATCTTCTCCGAAAGCTTAGGCTCAGACGGAGACCAATTCCAAGGTTCTGCATGAGAAAGAAATAGTAGTCTGGCAGAGAAGAGATGGTGAGGGGAAAGCTGACTTCAGAGAAAAATTATCATAGAGGTGAAGCTGGTCATGGACCATTGTAATAACAATGAAATCACTGCAGCCGGCAGTTTGCAAGCAGAAATGATTTCATGCCTATAAAAACCGGCTCTGCAGACTTTGAGCCGAAATATAAAAAAAAAGTGGGTGAAAAGTCAAAAATCCGGTGTCAGCTCTTAAAAAAATGCCTTGCCTCCTTGTATCTGGATGGAGACTCAGGGAGCAATAGGGTGCTAGCACCTTCTTCAAAGCCCAGGGCAATTGGTGCCTGAAGCTCACCGCTGCAGTTAGCTTTTCTTTTCTTTTTAAATGTATTTATTTTTACTTTTCAATATTCACTTCCATAAGATTTTGAGTTTTAAATTTTCTCCCCCTCCAACTTTTCCCCCCAACCCAGAAGGTGTACAATTCTATATAGGCTCTACATACACATTTATGTTAAGCATATTTTCCCATTAGTCATGATGCAAAGAACAATTAGAACTAATGGGAGAAACCACAAGAATGAAGCAATAAAACAAATGATCCAACCATTTTGGAGTGCAATTTGGAACTATGCCCAAAAAGCTATAAAATTGTGCATACCCTTTGACCCAGCAATACCACTTCTAGGGCTGAATCCCAAAGAGATTATAAAAACGATAAAAGGACCCACATGGACAAAAATATTTATAGTAGCTCTTTTTGTGGTGGCAAAGAATTGGAAATTGAGGGGATGTTCGTCAGTTGGGGGGATGGCTGAGCAAGTTGTGGTATATTAATATAACGGAATACCATTGTGCTATAAGAAATGACGAGCAGGCAGACTTCAAAAAAACTTGGAAAGACTTGCATGGACTGATGCAGAGTGAAATGAGCAGAACCAGGAGAACATTGTACGCAGTAACAGCCACATTATGGGATGACGCACTTTGATCATCTTGACTCTTCATTGCAAGGCAAGAATCTAAGACAACTCCAAAATTCGCACAATGGAAATTGCTATCCACATGCAGAAAAAGAAATACAGAATCTGAATGCATATGGAAGCAAACGATTTCTTTGTTGTTTTGTTTTATTGCAGCTGGCTTTTCTAGAGAAATGCCATGCATCCCTTTTTCACTTGTAGGAATGGAGGCTGTGTTCTGACCATAGCAGAAGGTCCAGATTCCTTAACAAAGGTGTACCTTGAAGGCAGGGACTATTTGGCTTTTGTCTTTGTAGTCTCAGTACTTAGTTGCCTGGCATACAGTAATTGCTTAATAATTACTACTGGGTGAAAGAAAAGAACCTTCTCCAGCACAGGGAGTGTACAGGCTGATACAGGTTGATGAATCCGCTAAGATCTTCTTATGGAATCTATACACTTAGTTGTAAAGCAGCATGAACCAAGCAACAAGCATTTATTAAGCTCTTACTGTGTGCCAGGCAATGTGCTAAGCTCTAGAAATATAAAGACGAAAGTGAAGTTTTAATCTTTGCCTTCAAGGAGCTCATATTGGGAAAACAACATGGTACATATATAGTTATATACAAAATGAATACAATGTGACTTTTGGGGAAGGGTAGCACCAGCTATGGGGAGGAGTAAAAGTATAATGGTGCCTGGTAGAAAGGAGGTGCCCAAGTTGAGTCTTGAAAGAAATTAGTGGTTTAAGAGAGGAAGGTGAAGAAGGAATGTGTAAGGAATCCCTTATACATGGGGTGGGGTAGGGGTACAGTACCCCCGCAATCTGGGAAATCTGCTTAAATTTTTTGGTCCTCCCTTCGTACCACAGAAGAAGTCTGATTTATTATGGCATTAAAAGACAAAATATGCTGATATTACACGATGTTATAAATATATTTTCTGAGTTTCTAAACTTTTTCTGTGTCATCTGCCGGCCTTCACATGTCATATGCGGCTTACACAAAACTCCCACAAAATTTCCATTTAATTTCTTATGCCAACCTGTGATATATCAAAAGTGTGACAGGGAAAGGGATGGGGAATGGTGATGGTGGAAGGAATAACTATTCCAGGCATGGAGGACGATGGGTGAAATGCATGGAGAAAGGAGATGAATTGTTGAGTGCATAAAGGGCAGTAACAATGTACAATAAGGTTGGAAAGGTGGTTTGGGGCCAGGTTGCAAAGGTCCTTAAATACCTAACAGGAGAACTTATATTTGATAGTAGGAGCCACTGGTATTTGAGTTGAGGAGAGGGATGGACAGATCATGCTCTAGAGAAATCATTTTGGCAATTGCAGGGAGGGGTTGGATAGGAGAGAGACTTGAGAAATAAAACCAAGAAGACAATGCAATAATGATAAGGTGATGAGAGAATAAACAAGTTGAAGGTGTTCTACAGGCACTGGGCAGGACTCCTTGGAATTAGAGGTAATTAAACCAAAGAAGGCCCAAACTCTGCCAGCTATATGACTTTGCTCAGTCATGTTTATTCAGTCCTTCT